AATTCCACAAAAGTGAAGAAAGGTATGGACCCACTGCACTAAACAAGCCTGGAGAGAGAAAGATTCAGAATCTCATAACGTGGATCTGTAGTTTGTCGTTCGTTTGAAGTCTGCGGGCGATCACAAGGAGGCATCTCTTCATTTCTGACCTCGTAACTTCAAACATCTGAGATAAACCAGTGTTCTGTAACTTGCAGAAGTTAATTTAAACCACATTGTTTATTCCCTCAGGTGTGTCTCTCCAGATGGGAACAATTGCATTTTTGTACTTGTAAGGGAACATATAACTGCAAAGAGAAGCACGTCTAAGAGAGAACTGCAGTCTGGGTGTTTTTATATCTCTGAAATAAATAATGGGGGGTCAATTATCTCAAAGGATGCACAGACATCCTTCTTTCTAAGCCGATGTTCCTATAATCCGATTTTGTTGTGATTCACCTCAAAGTTGACCAGAAACATGCAGTCCATGCTCTGATGGTGAGCCCACGGGATTTTGGTTTACGAGCCTCAGATCACTCATAATTGAACCCTTAAACAGGATGATGCAGTTTTTTTCTCGTGGGGATGGACAATGTGAGATGATGACACCCTCAAAGTGTGTGTCATTTGCCCTTATGGTGCTTTGCATAGATCACACGGCAGATTGTGTAAACGTCGTTGCATCACTGCGGCGGTATGACTGGATCTCCAGCAGGTTTACGTCCTCGACCTCCCTGTTGTATTCTGCCGGGAGTCATCGGTGTGTGTTTTCCCACTAATTCTGTTTACTGCACAACATACCTGACGAAGTATTTCCATCTACTGGTCTTTTTATTGTTTATTTACCCAGATGTCAAATGAACTGTATCTGCTCTGCAGCACAGTACGCACTTTAAGTAATCGAGTGGCTGCCATTTTTCCATTGGCAACGAATATGGACGTAAAAGGTTCTTTGAGGGCTTAGTAATTGTTTAATGTTGTGTAATCTTTAATGACATTTTGATCGTCTGTCGTCACTTTTTATGACTTCATTCAACATTTTTTAAATAGACTTCTTCAATGTTTTGTTTATAGAAATGATATTTACAGACAGAGGGTGAAAAGAGGAGCTTTAGTATAGGCAGTATAAGAAAAATAAAGAGCTTTTTGAACATTAAAGCATGGAAACATGTCGCAGTCGAGGCACATAGTATAAACCTGTAATTTGCCCAAAAGTATTGTGATAAATGATTGATATCTTATAGTCCAGCCCAAGTTCAGAGCACCTTTTCTCTCTAGTACTCATTCCTCTTTATTCTGTCATATTTATAAAAATAAAAAAACCGCTCCGATATTTCCCTCTGTGCTTTAAGAGCGCTCAGGAGAGAGTCCTCAGTTTAACGGCAGTCATAGCGGAGTAATGACAGTGAGGAGACCTTGGGCTCTTCTTCCCCTCCTCTTCGTCCTGGCATGGTTTGTTAACATTTCTTCCAAACCGGTCGCCTCAGTCCCGAAGGCCTCGCTGTTTGCTGAAGCTCATAATTAACCCTTCAGTTGTCTCTGAAATGAGATGTATTATCTCTGTACATCCCACAGCCGGCGTTCACTGCAGGATCTGGGTGTTCAAATTACTATCATACCATTTGAAGTCATACTTATTATCTTTTACAATTGTTTTATTTTCAAGCTGCTCTCTAGACAGAAACAGAATGGGGGGGAAAACCACATTTCACTATTAGTAGAAATAGAAAGACAGAATCATAAAAGTTTTAATGATCTCATAAATATAAAATATTCATGTCTTAACTTTCTTTGTTGTCAGACCATCAGTTAAAAAAACATAATCGAAGTATACAGTGATAGGAAACAAAGAAAAGCAAGCAAATCTTACAGGGGGTATTTGATGTTTCTACATCAGAAGTGATTTTGAGTTTGACATTTGCTATTAAACAACAAATACTTTCATTCAACTTATTATTCTAGCACAAATGGAGCTACAAGATCAGCATATGTCCAAGGATAACAGTTTTTATTTTGAAAAAACATGCAAGGACAAGTTTTGTGAACCCATTTTGCCTTTACTGAGTGATTTGACTACAATTCCTAGAAGGCTATAAACCATCAACACATAATAGGTTTAACATTTTGCCTTTCAACATCTTTTGTGGGCATTTTTGGCTCTTATTTTGATCGAGGACTGTAGAGAGGTGACAGGAAATGAGACAATAGAAGGGATGAAATACAGTAAAGTACTCCTGCTAGACTTTAAGGCAGCTTTCAGACTTACTCCCCTCATTCTTTAAATACAGCAGGGATGACAAACCGGTAAAAAGGTTGAACCCTGCTCAGCTTTTGAGTCATGTTGAGGTGCTGCAATCTCACATTCCTGCAGGATTACTTTGTAACATGAACAATACATTTCTGCAGTTTCCTTTACGTTCTTTACAACTCAAGACACAATCGTTGTTGCCTTTGTGACCTTTCCATAGCAGGAAAACTTCCTTACAGTAGAAGGGTGGTGTGTCATGTGACTTTACCTGTTAACACCATTTTGTACTAACCCTTAATGGTTGAAACACACAATGTTTTAGATACTGTGACTAAATAGCGATGACTTATTAAAATTACTGACCTCCCTTATCTATCTCACTTTGGCATAATTACTGTATTGCGCTGTAAATTATGAGAAATAATCTTGTTTTTAGAAAATAATATAAATTCTAATATTAAAGCACTACAGTTTTTATTGTATTTTACATAATTAATATTGATTGTTTTTAGTAAAGTGTGCACATGTTTACTTTAGCTTCTCTGTTTATATTAAGATGTCTTTTGAAATGTAGCAACCGTTATAAATCCAATTTCCTCGCCCCCTGGATCGCTTGCAATTCTTTTTTTATTGAGCAATTTATGAATCATTTTGATCCTAACTTTGGCCATACATTTTTTGGTGTATTTTATAAAATAATTGATCATTTTACCTTATCCTTGACCCCAATGTTAAAAAGGCAAGTGATCCAAATATCACTCAAAGAGAATAGTTGTCTAGTAAAAGGGAAAAAATGGAAAGTATTCAAATGTTTTAAGCCTAAAAAAACCATCTTGCTGCTGAAACTATTCTATCGGAAAGCTTTAAGTTGAAATTATTCATCTTTATAAAATGTGGAGCATATGGTGGATACCACTTTTAAAATGTGAGGATTTACGTGATCCTCTTCAGTAAAGTAACAGTGGGATTACAAAAGAAAAGGTCCAAACAAAATATCAATTTAAAACACAATAAAAACCTTCTGCTCGGTGTAAATCTCATTTTATCAATGATTTTTTGGTGTTTTTTTGCTTCACCGCCTCAAGATTTGCTCGTGAGTGAGTCAACACTATGGCTACTCCCGCCTCGTGAAACATTAATGCCTTTTTATATGTTTTATGGAAGGGAAGAGGGCGAGGTGTAGTTAACAGCGGATCAATAATAAATTGCACTCTGGCTTTTTTCTTTTTGTGCCTCGTACAGCGGAAGAGTAAAAAGCTCTTTTGGCCGTTACAAATGTGCCTGTCTGGTCTCTGAATGCTGATGAGAGCGTGTGTTGACTGAGGGTTTTCTTATTAGAGAACAGGCTGGATATGTGACGATGCATCTCGAACGTCATTCAGATCTTTTCTCAACCTCTCAGGCTGGATTTAACCCACTCTGCGCTGAAGGGGATCCTCCTGTTGGGATCCTTCTTTGAAAACGATCACCTTATAATATCAAATAATTATCAGGAGGTGGGAAGAGTACGAAGGTCTTGTACTTCAGTAGAAGTACCAGAGTGTAGGAATACTTAGTTAAAGTAAAAGTCCTGCAATCAAAATATTACACAAGTAAAAGTACAAAAGTATTAGCATCAAAATATACTAGTCCTCATTATGCAGATTGGTCCATTTCAGAATAATATATATGTTTTGATTATGATTATTGATACATTAATGTGTTTATTAAAGCTAGTAAATGGCCCCAAGAATGTATAAGAAAATCCTAGACTTGTGTTGTTGGAGCACAGCTAGTTCCTGATCTCTGGTTGTTAAGGAAAGCAGTGTTGACCGGGAGCCTTACTATGTGTTTGGCACAAATGTCAGACACAAGGCCGAGTAAACTGTGAAGTGCCATCTAAAGAATTAATGAAATCTGTGTGCGCACATCTGAAAATCCATTTATGTTTAAATTAAACATTATATTTGAGCTTTGTGACGTGGACATGCCACTTGAGGAGTAAGTGCATATTTCTGTTGGAGTCGTGTAATGGAAAATAGTCACGTTAAATTATGGATTTGTATCTTGATGGCATTCCCTCATTTTGCTGTATTTACACGCTGGAAATGTATTTTGTGTTTACTCATTTTATTTAACACAAATATAAACAATTGCATCTCGAGACGGACAGACGCATCTTTATTAAAAAAGTAAATTAGCTAATTTTGTGTAAACAGTGTCCCAACTCTCCTCTTGTCACATGTTATCTTTTAATATCATATTTTGTATCCAGCTATGGGTCAAAATAAAGTGAACTACTTTGTAAATAAGTCTGTTTGTGTCGCTTCATGTGGGTTGTTAACTCAGCTTTATTTAAACATGCATAAACAGTTTGTATGTTTTTTAAATTTCACTATAAAATTGCTGTTTTTAATAAAGGTTGTATACTATTTGTGAGAATAGTGTCTCAGACCTTTTTGTCTTGTTTTCTTGTCTTCCCCACCTCCTTACTTTTATTTGACTTCTCTCCTGAGCTCACCAAGTCAAAAATACTCCTGTTTACTGTGTTGAAGTGTCGATAGAATCTTACATCCTGAAACCCTAAGTGAACCCTAAACATGTATGGCGTGTGGGTTCAGGGGGGCACAGGTTCAAACCCCATGCAGTCAGCATGTCGTTGTGTCCCTAAGACACTTCACCCCAAATTGCTCCTGTGGGGATTGCCCACAGTATTGAGTATGTAAGTCGCTTTGGATAAAAGCGTCTAACATGTGACATGTAATGAAATGTATTTTTCTCTCTCTCATTTCAGCTCTTCAGAGAAGTTAGAATAATGAAGATTTTGAATCATCCCAATATAGGTAAGTGGCTCTTACACACATAACAAGTGTATTCTAGAACAATTGGCATCGATGCACATCAGTTCACATTTCCAAATGATCATGTGTGAGTTTGCAGTCACATGATCCTCTCCCATGCCGCCAGCCTGAATTTCATCAGCTTGTTTTGTCTTACAAGTGCTGCTGTTTCAGCGTTTTTAGTTCCCTTTTTTATTTGTTTTTGTTCTCACAGACAGAAGAGTGTTCTTTCAAATCAAACAATCCTGGAAAATGGGAAAGATTGTGTAAATATGGCCGCAATCCAACGTATGCAAAAAGCTTGACAACTAAATCATTTACCAAAAATATAGAATTTTGTATGTACCTTTTTAAAAAAATAATGATTCATATTTCATCATATGTTTTGGGACTACAAAATGAATCGGGTTTGAAATGAGGAGAGCAGCACAAAGACACTCAGCTAACAGGAAATGACAACCAATCAATAAATGAATAAACAAGCAGTACTGTTGGCAGGTTTGAAATAAAGTAAAAGCAAGTTTCTTCTACATTTGTTTTAAACAAAAAATAGCATCAAATCCTCACAATTCAACTAATCGATGAATGGACTAATCCCTTCACCTTGAGTGATGTTCATAAGGATTGACGCTGGCCCTTTAAAAAGTCACATCAAGGCTCCATGAGCTTATTTGCAAAGAGTACACACACGTGTCATAAAGCAGACAGATCGTGCTCACCACACATGGTGCGGCTGGTTTTTAGGAGATGGGATTCCCCGTTAATTACTTTTTATTTCCTTTCCCCCCGCGCTGCCTGATTTCCTCCGCAGAAATGTGATTATAATGAACAGAGTGGTTGTAAGCGCTCACCAGCCTGACGCTCTCCATCTCTCGCTCATTGTCTTCCTTCCCACCTCGTCTATATTTAGCAGCGCAGCTCATCACACATCCCTCTCTTTTATATCTCCCAGCTGAACTCACTGCGGTAAAAAAGGTGAAAAACAACAGCTTTTGGTCTGTACAGTAAATATCGAGTGCTAAAAAAGCTCGGCTCGATGCTGTGCTGATCACGACACACACACACACACACACACACACACACACACACACACACACACACACACACACACACACACACACACACACACACACACACACACACACACACACACACACCATGTATACATCACTTCAGGGGACATTACATTGACTTACATGCATTTCCTGGAGACTTATCCTAACCTTAACCATAACCAACACATGCCTAACCCTATCCCTTACCCTTAACCTTACCCTAATCCTAAACCTAACCAAGTCTTCAACTTAAAATGAATGATTCCCCTCATGGGGACCTCCAATTTGTCCCCATAAGGGAGGCGAGTCCCCACACGTGACTGTGTAAACAGATGTAGGTCCCTACAAGTATAGTAATGCTAGACCACACACACACACACACTTCCCCCTCCAGACACTTCGTTGCCATCTTTCACTGCACTAATAAAGATGGACAATGATAAATAAAAGCGACAACAATGCACTGCAATAATTAAATGTCAAAGTACATTTTACTACAAAACTTTAATAAACAAAACTATACAAATGTGGCTATAACTGTGTGTTCACAAATAGAGGCTAAAAGTACATGCTCAAGAAATATCCATAAATATGTATATATTCATCCACTCCCTCTGCGGGCCTGTTTGGAGAAAAAATGGTGTCCATGAATTAATTGGTATCTCTGTCTGAATCTCCATCTTTATGCATAATTGATTATGTAATTTCCTCCCTTTCGTTTTTCTCATTCTCCCCTTTTAGTCAAGCTGTTTGAAGTGATCGAGACGGAGAGGACGCTGTACCTGGTGATGGAGTACGCCAGTGGAGGTGAGACGGAAATATAATTAACATTTTGTTTGCTTTAAACTTTAAGAAAGCCATGTACCATCAACATGTCAAACGGAGACATGTTTAGTTGAATAAAAGAGCCTTTTAGACATAAATAAAACCCCTCAATCCAAAAAGGGAAGCTGCCGTCCTCATATTGAAGTGAAAACATCATCAAACATCTTTAAACCTGACGATCTAAGACATACAGACCCCTTAAGTCAAATAAAAGTGCATTGTAGACATAAATGCAACCCTCAAGCCAAAAAAAGGAAGCTGCTGTCCTCGTATAGAAGTGCAAACATGAAACAACAGAGTGAATTGTTTCCGAAAAGTTGATGTAGTCGGTAGAAATCTGCTGCTCCCAGCGTCCCAACTATGATTTATTAACACCAAAGTGTGATAAATGTGTGCTTTTTAATAATTCATACACACTGGGAGCTGCTTATAGTCTGCAGACTCCACTTCCACCTGAGAGAACAGATGTAGAAGAACATCAATCTGAGTGGGATTTACAGAATATAAGTATGAAGAGTACTGCGAAAGTTGATGCAGAAAGTATGGAAATGAAGTTGAGTTCATAACTTGAAGCATAAAATCAGCGTCTTTATTACCGGATATAAGGTAAGGCTTTATTTTATAGGTCCATTGTTTCCTCATTATTTACTGGAGATGACTTTGTAATTTGATCCTAAATTGGCATTGGATTTGAAGTGTATCAACAGAAAATGCACCTTAGAACAGGTGGATGGAAATGGTGTAGAAAAGCTGGAAGATATTGCATTAAGAAAAGTTGATGTTAGGAGAAAAACAGTGTAATGGAAACCTATAGTGTGAATAATAAAATACATGAGCCCTCCACTAACCTCCACTGAAGAGCAATACAACATTTGTGCCTGTAGCCTTCCTCAGATGAGTATCTGAAACAAACAAATGCTATATCTTCGTGACCGTTTTCACATGTTCTCTGCTCGTTAGACTGGTGGTCGTTACGTCTTGTTGCACTGTTTCTTTCCTGCAATAGTTTTTTCACACCACACTCTAGAATTGGACGCATTATCTCCTAATATTCAACATGACAGAAGTGGAGGGAAATGTGCACAAACTCACATGTTCTATTGCTGATATTCTGGAAACTAGGTTCAAATCTAAAAACGACACTACTGTCTCTGTTTACCGATGTTTTAGTGTCAAAGTAAACAGTTCTTTACAGTTGAACTTCTAAGGAAGTTATTGTGGAATTATGAGGAACATATGGAGCTATAAAATAATTGACAACGCAAACATTGTTCCTGAGAATGTGTGAACCCTTTAAAGCAAGGTTAGAACATAGGAAGTAATGATGTTGATGCAGAGACATAATCAGTCCTTTGTAAACGTAGTGAAAAGCGACTCGGAGCAGGAAAAACATGTCAGTCGACTCCAACAGAAACCTGCATTTCTACATGTAACTCGTCTATGACCTATATTTTTAGCATTTTCAGCATTGCTTAGATATAAATGCACTTCCTCCTCGAGACATGATCAATGTAGTTCCTTCTTTTCTGCAGTCTGCACACTCGTGACTGGATTTCTTTATAGTGAACAGTCTGTAAAGGTAAACTAGAATCATGCGACTTTGAGTTACAGCAAATGAAGAAAAATAAGGAGGGATGGTCATTAAACGACTATTAGGAGAGCAAATGTTAGAAAAACGCTTCCACTGAGGGACTAATAAGTGGACAGACAAATGCTTTAAATATACAGCAACTGATAGAAACTGGCATTTCATTGTAATGTTATTAAATGCAAGATAACAGGAAGCCATCTGTATTCCTTAGTGGTAAACGAAGCAGATGAAGCAAATTAATCTTAATTTTTCTGCAAATGCGACGGCTTCCAACAGTGAGCTTACATTTTCTTGTGGTGAAAGTTTCTCATTAATGTGGCCGGCCACACACACACACACACACACACACACACACACACACACGACACGTCTTCTCATTGATTTCCTGTTAAAGGTCGCATTCGGTCCGCCAAGACAAGCAAAGAGACGACAAATTGTGAATCACATTACCGTGAGGATGGGAATTCTGATCAAAAGCCAATACAATTAGATGTACAATTAGGTAAATCTAATATTTCTCTCAAGTTTGGCCTTCTTTTTCTTTTTTTTTAAGGAATTCCATTAGAATCTCAAAACTGACCTTCAGTCACAGATCCAGTCAAATCAATTTGTAAAAGCGCCAACTCACCAGATGTTAGGAAATGACTTTGTTGAGCTGTAAACTGAGGGAATGTCAGACGAGTTTAAAGTAACAATAATAGATTTCTTTCAAAACATAACTTTTTAACAACGTTATAACACACCATATAAATTCAAGAGATGTTGCTAGATTGCTTTATCGCTTGAAACTAAAATGTTCAGTTATACAACTGGTGACTGAAAACTAAATTGCAGCTTCGTGCATTCTTTACATTTCCATATTTGTACTGAATTTACAGAAAGAGACTTTTCTTTGTCAGAATAACATTTTTCTTTTAGGCAGTGTCTGTCTGTCCTTCGATCCTCTTTTTTAGTCCAGTCTCAACAACTTGTGGATGGATTGGCATGAAATTGTTAGCAGACATTTGTGGTCCAGTGTTTATAAATGATCATAATTCTGCTGCGTTAACTCATCATCTAACACCACCAGCAGTTCCATTTTCTCATCCAAATACCTGCAAAACTACAGACATTCCCATTAGCCTCAACTGCACTTTGATTGTACTGAATAAAAACAAGAGCATGGCTGTTAAGTGGTCATCTTGTTACCTTTAAATGAACTTTAAGGAGACTGAAGATGTTGCATACATTGCTGAATCAGGGGCTACCTTCATTCAAACAGGGGCATTTTAAGATCCTCTGTGAGGCAATGTGGCTTAAAAAGTTGCCTCAGCATTATTGAATTATGCAGGAATGTCATGCTAACAGAATTCAACAAAACAATATAATGTAAACTTGTTTCACGGCTGAAAATGATCCAGATTTGTTTCTCTCTACATGTTTTTAGCATCAAGGTTAAAATGTCCTTGTTGTTTTCCAGCGTTCTTCCCTATTCTCATCCCTTTGTTCTGCACACACTGTGCCCTTTAGCTGTGACATGCTAAGTGTTAGCTGCCACATTCTGTCTTTAGCAGTTGAGTCAGAGTGCAGCGTTGAATTGTTGCTTTTCTGGATCTCTGAAGCACAGAAACGTCCTCTGCAGGTCAGCGCTGAGAGAGTAGGAGGGTTTCAAGGATTCAGAGAAAGAGGGGGGATGTATTTTTGTTTGTTATTTTGTTTTAGATCCTCTTTCGGCCGTGGCTCGGTCACACACATGCACTCCAGCCGTCTAAGTTCAATTTACATTAGAACGAGCGTCGTCATGTTTTAGGTTGGAAGTGTGCTGCAGTGTGGGCCGAGGGAAGGGTCCGCAGCCGGAGAGGAGCTCAGCTTTGTGCCTCCAGGAGAGGCTCAGTGTGGAGGAAGCAGCTTAAATACGATCGACAAACACCCTCAAAGCATGCACATGGGTGACGGTGCAGGCCAGCTGCTCAAGAAAAGTTCATTGTGGAGTTATTTATATGGGTTATTCTTAAAAGTTGTGACTCACTCTCTCTTCCATTTCTGTATGTTGCTGTTTCTCAACCTCTTTCTTTTTGTGTCTCTTCTGCAGGAGAGGTGTTCGACTACCTGGTTGCACATGGACGAATGAAGGAAAAGGAGGCCAGGGCTAAATTTAGACAGGTACTTTCTCCCCCTGCAGTGTTCTGGTTTCACACCTCAGACAGGTCGCCGTCCTCTGTCCTGCTTCTGGGACGGGAAACTCTCTGTCGTCTTAAAGACTGATGAGTAACGTCCAAATCGGCATCTGTCCCCATCTCTCACCTAGCAGCGACTGTCATAAATGTTTTAAAAGTCCAGACATTTTTGTTTTACATACCCTGAAAACTGCTCTAGATGTTACAAACACAGAGTCAGTTAAAGAAAGAGACAGTCTAAGGTAATAGGTCGAGGACATCACCACACTGAGCAACTACTTAAAGGGGACCTATAATGCAAAATGCACTTTTTGATGTCTTTTATACATAAATATGTGTCTCCGGTGTGTCGGGGAACTCACGCAGCGTCAGAAAATAAAACCCTCTCTCTTTTCCTCCGTACCCAAATCTCTAAAAAAAAAGACATGAGCATTTTATGAGCATGGGATTTTGACTCCTCATATAAACATATGCATAATGCTATACTTTGCGGCCACACGCCGTTGCCAAGCAACGCTTATTGTTTAGGTCCTTTGATAAGCAGGCAGTCATATCATTAACTAGAACTAGCTAAATCTGATAGATTTGGACATAAACGCGAGTGAAGTCTAACCAGACGCGAGAGAGAGATCAGATATCAGATCAGCTGCTGCTGACGGAGAACACGCAGCTCTGCATGATCACCGCTCCGCCCGCTGTGATGGATCGTTGAGCCGAGCAAAATACACTAAGAGTTAGACCTAACACACTTAGCTAGTTTATCTACTCTGGAACCAGCTAAACTAGTTATAAATGTATTTATTCTTTACTGTCAGTTCACTTATTACAGGTTCAGCGAGCTGCACGAGACTGACGGGCTGTCAGGGGAGGGAGAGGAAAAGAGAGCACCCCGTTTACCTTTCCCATTTTATTATCCAGAATTACTGTAAACTTTTGAAGAAAGTAGTTAATCTACTATTAGTTGTTTGTTTAAATGCATTAATTACGTTTTGTTTTTTTAAATTAACATAAAATAAATGTCACGTACCCCCTGCAGTACTCCAACGTACCCCTAGAGAACCACTGAAATAGAGGCATATGAGGCATGGCTAGAATGGTTGATCTGTTTGGTATTTTGAGCAAAACACTTCATAGACATGTTTTTTATATATTTTTATATATCTGAGATCTATGCTATTGCCTAAAAATAGCATGATAGGTGACCTTTAAATTAACTTGGAGCTGAAGATGCAAAACAAAGCAAACTCTAAAAGTGAAAATATAAGACTGTAGGTCCCCTTTGTGTCCTGATATGTGTAATCCCTCACAGCCTTTCTGTACTGTCTCTGCAGAATGTCTCCTGAACTGAAGCAGATAAATGTTTTGCACACAGGAAGCTGTTTTCTCAGCCTCCTTCAGCCCCACCTGCGTTATGTTTTGTCTTTCCTGTCTGTCGACCACATCTCCTCCTCCTTTCTTCACCACATCCTTTATCTCAGAACAGATTTCTAACTCGACTGTTGCTTGTGTTTCTTCCTCGTACAGATTGTGTCGGCGGTGCAGTACTGCCACCAGAAGCACATCGTTCACAGAGACCTCAAGGTGAGTTCAGAGAAGCCACAGCAAAAACAAAATGAACTTTTTTTTATTTCCAGAAGCTTAAATAAACCAGAATGCATTGCAACCACATGATGGGTTGTTTAAAAGAGCAACTTGTGCAGCAATTCTCTAAAGCAACATCACTGGGTTCTCTGGCCTTTTTAAAATTTAGAGAAATCAACTTACCAAGATTTAAGTTGGAAAACGAGTGTGAATGCTACTAAGTAATCATTTATAGATGTTTTTATTTCATTTCATTATATATATTATGTCTTAGTCTGCAGATCGAGGTGCCAAATTGGATCAAAAATCTAAATGTTTTATTTATCATATATTTATATCGCCTCTATCATACATCCTGATGATATAAAACCAAATACTCGATACTAAATTGAACTCTTCACACACATAAATAAATAAAATTCACATTATAGAAGTGTGTGATTTAAAACCAACACGCCCCAAAGACATGCAATAAGTGAAATATAAATGTGTACAACAATTTCACAGATAAAAAAATATTTGAATTATAGTTGGAAGCAGAAATAGGCGGAGAACTAGGAGTATTGTCTTTATTCACTGTTTAAACAACAATTTCTAAGGACCACCATTTTATTTTTAAATCTAATATATTTAATACCATGGCATTTTTGTTTTTGTACACAGACTTTCATTCCACATCTCAATGAATTTTTGAAAAGTTTCTTTATACACAGAAAGATGTGTTCATGTTTATCAGTAATCCTACGAAGAATTAAAATGTGCATAATGTATTTACCTTTTGAGGCTAATTACCTCTGACTCAGCTGACGTCAGAGCTGCGTGTTTTATGACTCATCTTAACTCCCATATTCCCACTGAAGACTCACAATGGAGCATATGCTGCCCTTTTATCTGAACAACCAGCCTTTTTACTTAAAAATAGTGCACAATGTAGCTGGTTCCTCTTTAAAATGCACCACATTGTAGTGTTAATGGACCTCCTTTATTTCGTGATGCCGCTTTACTTCCATATATATTTCATATATAAATATTTGTGCAAGTGTGAAGGTTATTTACGACAGACGAAAGATAAACCAACAAATAAATAAATCCCTTTTTAGTTGTGCAAAATGACTGTCTTGCACCATGATGGTACAAATCTGAATAGTTCGCATTTTTTCTAATTTAACTAACTTACTAATAAATGACCAAAGCGTTGTAGTTTACCCACATTAACTAAGCTTCCAGATGTAGTTGTTAAACTGACGACATGTACTCTGATGTCTGTGATTTGTAGCCGATAAATATTACTTATTTAAATATAGCTTTGCTTTAAACCTTACAGATTGATGGTATTTGGGCATTTGATGACGTTTTAATTCTCATTTCTAGCTGCAAAAAGCAATATTTTACCATTTTCACCACATTAATTAGTGTTAATTCACTTCCGCCATTACGTGACGCTGCTTTACTTCAATCCAAATATAAATATGGATGCTTCAGTGTTTTTATCTCTCCGTCAGTGGGAGAGAAGCTCTGTGTACTTGCTGCAATCTGTTTCCTGTGTAGAGCTTCATGAATGACCCATGAGCAGGAGATGTGAGAGCAGTCTCCATGTGTTACATGTGTGTTTAATGAGGGCAGGTGTACATATACAGCATGTCACAGGCGTGATTGCGGAGAACATACAATGAACTTGGTTACATTTTAACCAGCAAATGAACTACAATTCCTCAGGGTTGTCGTGACACTTTTCTTTTGCTTCTGGTCAGACACGTTAGAAAGAGCGTTGTTTATCCCTCATGTTTCAGTCCTTGAGCTCCATGGAAGATTTCTTCTTCTGCTCTCTTAGTTTCGGCTTCCTAATTAGTCTTTGGCCTACAGCTGAATGTGTTGGCAGATGTTGGAAATCCTTGCATAAGTTTTGAACACTTTCATTCACAAAGAGACTCGTTATTAGATCAGACTATATTTATCAAAATAATCGCTCTAAATAAGTGCTAATTAGAGCAGAAATGATTGTATAAGAAACAGTTTTTTAGCATTGCTTTAAGTCATTGGTTAAGCAAAAATGACAAATCTTTTTTGATCCAGTCTTGTAATAGGTGTATTTATTATATTTGTTTTTAAACTGTTAGTCAGAGAAATGTAAAGAAGGGATGCACAATATTACATTTCTCACCATAGATCAGGGGTGCCCAACCTTTTTTGAACCGAGAGCTACTTTTAAAGTTGCCAGTCTGCCGAGATCTACCAGTCCAAATAGAGAGGCGTAGCCATTACTGACAGGTAAATACACACTTCTACTTGTACAAAACTGACCTTTGTACGATGAATACTTCATAAAATACTGCAGATCCTTTATCTTACCTCTTTCTAATCTACACACATACAAGTATTTAACTGAAGTTACACAACAGTGTTGTTGATACAGAGTTGGAGTTTATTCACTCGTCACAAACTACAGTGGGTAATGTTTTCAAGAAACATTGAACAGTGCTGCCACATATGACACTGGAAAAAAAGAAAAGACACTGAACCCTTTATTTGCCATGATATAAAAATAGTTTTGCTACAAAAGTATAAATTAGGCTTACTAATAAGACAACTCAGATCTGAAGCTACACAGGCATCTGCTGCCAAAGTGCAATAAAAAAGACAAAATTAATAGAATCAAACCTTTTTTTTGTTGCATTTTAGTAGATTATAAAAAGAAATGCCTTTTAAAATAGGATGCAAGCAACACTAGTTTCTTAACCTGAATTGATGATAGACTATAATCAATTTAAGTTTGCATTCTTATACCATTTTGTACAATAATTATAATGAATAAGTTCAAACAAACTAAAACTTACAGCAGATTAATAACGGTATCTAACTTGAGTTTTTATCATATCAAAAACCTGTTGAAATGCTACTGTTTTTTACTGTCCCCCAAAAGCGCGTCGGCAGCCTCCAGGAAAGCTTCTTTCACAACTTCGCCGTCTTTGAAAGACTTCATGTGTTTCGCAAGAACGTGACTGACACGATAAGATGCTCTGGTAGCAGCCTTGCTCTTGTTGTTGGGCCTGGTGAAAATGGACTGCTGTGCATTAGCTGTCCTTTCAGGCCCCTCCCCTTTGGGAGCGTAGGGCAGAATCAGGAGGGAATTCCGTCTCGTAGCGTTTGTGCACTGTTTTGAAATGCCGCTCCTAAATTACCCTTCTTCGATAAAGCCACGCTCGCATTGCAGATGAGACAGATGGACTTTGAATTGGAATAGATACAAAAATAATCATCCTCCCACTCGGAGTGAGAATTATATATGTTTTGCTTCTGCCATAATTGCGGTCTTGTGTGTGTGCGGACTGTCACTCCTGTTAACACGGACAACGTTAGCGAACTAGTGCACACTGCCCACTGCTCACCAGCCACGCCCCCACACATGGGGTCACGCCGGCCAATCACAAAGCTTTGATGCGTTCAAGTGCATTATTCTGGCACAGGAAGATTATGTTACAGGACATTAACGATAAAACAGAATATTGTTGTTCTATTTTTAGACACATCTCGCGATCGACTGGGAATCTCCCCGCGATCGACCGGTCGATCGCGATCGACTGGTTGGGCACCCCTGCCATAGATGCAGAAAGACATCAAATATTTAATAAATATCTCCTGACTACTTTCAGGCAAGACATTGTTTTAAATGCATTTAACATAAGCCGTACTGTTAACCATTTAAAAATAGCTCTGGGAAAGCCCCTCTCAATGTTTGTCAGTTTAAAATAGACTAAATTATATCGTTTTTTAGTTGGTCAGATGTACTGTATGTAGATATGATCTTAATCCTTGACCTCCATGTGTCTGCTCTCAGGCGGAGAACCTGCTCCTCGACGCAGACATGAACATCAAGATCGCAGATTTTGGTTTCAGCAACGAGTTCACGATGGGCAACAAGCTGGACACGTTCTGCGGTTCTCCGCCGTACGCAGCGCCGGAGCTGTTCCAGGGGAAGAAGTACGACGGGCCGGAGGTGGACGTGTGGAGTCTGGGGGTCATCCTGTACACGCTGGTCAGCGGGTCGCTGCCCTTCGACGGACAGAACCTCAAGGTAGGGCCGACTGGGTCTGGATTTACTGCGGGTTGTTAAAAAATGTAATCAGAAACAGGTTTATTGTAGGTTATCTTATAAGGAATACACAAGTTGAAGAAAATAAGAGGAAATATTAATAATGTTTTTGAAGGGAAATGGAATATTATGTGTCAATGATGTATTCCTTTCAACAGTGCACACAATTGGCACCATTAGCCAGGATAAAACTGTTTAGCAATATGAGAGCGGCTGGTGAATTTGTCATTTCAGTGGCTTGTAATGTTAAACATTGGCTAGCCATTTGACTGGTGGACAAAAAAGTTTATTTTGCAACCTGAGTCTCAAAACAAAAAGTTAATATCATATTTTTGTCTTTTTCTGTTTGAGACTGCTTTCCTTTTTCTGAGGTTTTCCTTTAATTCAATCTATGTTAACTGTTTGAAACAAAGAGAAAACATATTATAAAATAAAACACGTTTCAGTAAGTCACTAAAAGAGGAAGCATGAAGGAAGTTTTGTCTAAATTGTATAATGTTCTATCAACTCTGTCGAGCTAACATTTTACAGTTGTGATCAACCAAAATTGGCCAAATTAAGCTGCATCTGTCAGGTATATCTCATAAATATGAGCAAATGTAGACATAAACAAGCTATTAGGCATAGCTGTTAACTTTACTTCCAGCATTAATGTGTTGAGTCAGCAACACTAAAATGTGACCCGTTGCATATTAAAGTGTGTTGCTAACGCCCCTGCAGGAGCTGCGTGAGCGAGTGCTGAGAGGGAAGTACCGCATCCCGTTCTACATGTCCACGGACTGCGAGAACCTCCTCAAACGCTTCCTGGTTCTCAACCCGACCAAGCGGGGGACTCTCGAGGTGAGGGAGGACACAGACAATGTAAATATACCTTTTTCAGTTCTTATCTCACCCCCCCGAGCACGTCTGCACCATCGGAGAAAGTCATCTCTCCTCCATCAACAATCTCCTCTCCCCCTCCTCCTGCATCTCCTCCTCTGACGCCCACAGACTCCTGCTTTCCGCCCGGCAACCCGGCCCACACTCTCCTCCTTTCTGATGTTGTAGCCATGAATAATACATAGTCTCTCTTGTGTTGTTCACTTTTGTTCTGCCTCGATCTCTGAGGTGAGGGTTCCTCACAGCGTTCAGGGCGCCACATAAAACCAGTTTAGTGGAGTTGAAACTGCTATCAATAGAAAGTACCGTACGTTTGAGAGATAAACCTCGATTCAAAGTTCCTCGTATTGATTATGAACTTGTTTGAAGGCAATCTTGTTTCTTTTTAAAAATGGGCCATTTAACCTAAGATGTTTTGCTTCTGATCTTTGCTTGATATTTTTAAGAGAAAGGACTTTTATTGCATTTTTAATGTTGGAGAGTTAAACTCCATGTTGTTGGCTCAGCGCTGAGGCTCACATATGTTGACCTCAGATGCCACATGTTTGTTCTGGATTACGACAGAAGGTCTGTTACATCGGAGCATGACTGGCGGTAATTAATTAGTTTGGCTCTGTCCTTCATTCTAAACTCCCCCCAGAGATCCATCGATCAGCTGCAAATTAAAAACAAGGGTGCAATGAGGTGCAACCCAGAACAATATGGATGTTTCTGTGGAAAGGCGGACAAATAATCTAATGGTGATGCAACACATGGATTACATACTTTTATCACACCCGCCTTTCATTTTATGTAGACTTTAAACGAGCAATACATAAAAAAGAACTATCAAACACACCAAAATATTTGTTTTAATCCTCTAAAATCTCCGCCTTTTCTATTTATTGACAAGTTAAGGTTCTTGAGATGTAGCCAGTCTTATAAATAGTTAATGTAGTTGTGCGTTACGACGATCTTCGGATGCTTCAAACATTTAACTTCACATCAAATGGAGATTCAACAATAAGCACCAAAACCTACTTCTCCTGTCTTGTACCTCACTTTCTGATACTTGTGAAGATGGTAGATAGCAAAGTTGACATGAAGAAAGACGCATTGATGCCGGGCTCCTTTTTCTTTTAGATAAACACATTTAGCAAGAGAGAAGGGGACATGCACATGAGGTGGCTCAAGAAACAATGGGCCCCTGGGTGCAGACCCTTTTTAAAGGGAACACCACCTCTTCTACATAGGAAACGTGACACAGCCGTCATTGTCGACCACTATTTTGTTAATTTGTGTCTTTTTCTCTTAATTTTGTATAATTTTTTTCATTAGATTGTTTTGCATCTCTATGTAGTTGTATTTGTCTCGTTGTAGTCATCATGATGTTTCTACTCTGTTACTTTAAGTGTATTCTGGACTGTACATTTCTCTTGATGGTAATTATGAGTATTTTTATAGTGGCTCTGAGGCTGTTTTGCTCCTTTTCAGACTCGTCATTTCATTTTCATTTAATCGTTTATTTGAAGAGGGACAATGCACATTGATGAACATTTTTAACAATGAATGCTTCAAAATGTAAATATGCCAGATTTTAGCTTTTAGCTAATTTCCATCCGTAGTCCCTCACATACAACATTTAAGAACATGACATTTATAAACATAGCAAAAATAAATACATGATATGCAGAAAGAGCAAGAGCAGCATACACGAGCATTAACCACATGGCAGTACAATGTAGCAGCTACGATATATAAAGGGCAAGAGAAGATACAAGAGCTACATCAAGTGCAAGAGGAGATACCCCTGTATTAAAGTCCATTTAGCGGTGATTGCACGTCTGTTTGTTTCTCAACCATTCTTTGAGTTGACCTTTTTAAAAGTGGGACAATCCCGTATCTCAGTTGGGAGGCTGTTCCATGATGAGCTGCCTTTAATGGAGAGGACATTTTGTCCAAAAGTGGTCCGTTTACGGTGGACTCCTCTGGTTTCTGACCTACTGCAGCGTCCAGTGTGTTTTTTTTGGATGGATTCCCCTCAGGGAGGGGGGGGGGCAGTCCATCTAAACATTTATTAACAAAACACAAGAAACTTAAGAAATTGTGTTTTTCAAGGATGGTACAGTGGTGGTATGAATTTGGCTTTCTGTCAAAAACCTTGATAGCGCTCTTGTACAGCTGTTCTATGGGTTTGTGGCACAAGCAAACGACCAGTTTGTAAATCAGTATTCAATGTGGGATAGAATCACACAGTGGAGGTATGACTTTGCAGCATTATGGTGTCTTGACAGCAGTTGTATCTTTCCTCGTGGTCACTTTGACCCTCTTCCTGGTTGGCACATGTTCTTTTAAAGGACATGTTGTCGGTGAAGGACAGGGCCTTTCCGTGGTAGACCAGTTCAGTAATCCATCCATGAAAAGTTATCGTCAATAAGACATTCCTCAGTTTATTTGTATGTACGCATCCCACTGTCACTCTATATTTCGATCCGAAACACTTCTTCAGAAAGGTTATTAGAGAATTTCTTATTAAAACGATGTATATTTGGTTTATTTAAGTCTAAAATACCACATTACACATCCAGCATCTGTCAGGCTCTAATTGTCTCTTTTTGGTTTTGCAGCAAATCATGAAGGATCGATGGATCAATGCTGGATTTGAAGAGGACGAGCTCAAGCCTTACACTGAACCAGAGACGGACATCACGGATCAGAAGAGAATAGGTAAAAGAAAACACTGATTTGGACTGTAAAATCACATAACTCCATTTCCCTTTGAAGCTTTATCCTCTTAAGAGCTGTGTCACCTTGTTATGTGACCAGGAAAATATCTCTTTCCTTTTGTATTTCAGATTTGAAATATTCCTTGAGAAAATGAGTTTAGCGAGGTCACAGCTCCACAACACAAAGCCGCGCTCATTATATCAGCGCTGTAGAGCTTTAAAAGAAAAGATGAAACGTGATGATGAATAAATAAACCGGAGCAGAGCTGCTGCTGCATGCAAAGAGAGAGCAGGAGTGGGAGGAAAGGGGGAGGAAAGAGGGAGGAAAGCCTCCCATCATGCCCTGGATGAAGGCTCTGATCGGGGGAGATCTTATGTAACAGCAGCTGGGGTTTGCTGTCTGTTCACAGAGAAACAGACAAACTGAGGAAGAGCTTTGTTAATGTTTCTGAGGAATCCCTGAGTGCTAAATAATGCAGTTAAAACATTACGTAAACCTCCTCCCAAATAAAAAAACAATATATTTTTAAGTCTTTTAAAGAAAAAAGGGAATCTTGGGTGTTTTTCAATCTGGACTTTTTCCCCCTGTTTTTGTGTCTACGTGAGTCATGGGGACAACTTGTTTTCAGTCAGTGGTCCAGTATTATGCCAGAGCACTGCAATGCATAAAAGAAAAGTGTGCTTTTTATCCACTCATCAAACCAGGAAACACTTTGATTTAAGTATTTTCAGGAAATCAGAGCAAGAAAAATATCACTTAATCAATCCGGGACATTAGTCTGCTACTAAATCATTTTCAAAAATCCCTAACTGCATTGAGTCGAAGCTAAATATGATGACTTTCTATGATATTAAATCTACTTTTTTACTTATGTTATGATAAAACAAGATTTCAAGAACTTTAAATGCTGGGAAACTGTCAAGAAATGGTTATCATCATTATATAAAGTCATGCTTAAATGTTAGTTTCCAGAATACAATCTTTTAGTTTTCAATTAAGATGTCTTTTTCTTTTAATAGTTAACTTATATTTGTCACATCTGCCAGGCTGGATTTCTCCGTGTTGATGTGTACAGATTTAATTTAGAAGATGTCAGTCAGAAGAGAGCTGCTAACCCGCCGAGAATAATGGCATTAGTGCAGCTTTTAGCAGAGACTTTTAAACGTGACGTGATGATCACACACCGCCTGAGAGGCTGTTCCCCCGCCCCGACATGCAGAGAAATCTGTCTGACAACATGAGTCATCTTCATTTGTTGGGTTTCTGGTGTTTTGAACAACATTTAATTATAGAAAATGTGTTCAAAGGTGCAGTAGTCTGTATTTTGGGCTTCTTAAAGCAGATTCCTGCAGATAAACAAGTCCTGCTGATGTGAATGCAATGCCAATCACTTGTAAAGTCAGAACTGTTGGATAATTTTAACGAATTATCACATAATATATACAAAGACACCAGACCCCATAAATCATACAAGCCAGGAGTGCAGCGTATTCATTCTCAAAATAGAAAAACTACTAAAGTATTTATCACAGTCAAGCATAACACCAACATTTAGGACATACAAATTCAAAAATCACTGACATAAACATTAACTATGTAGTACTGGGAGGAAGGAGCTCAGAAAACATACTTCTTATCGATGTATTCTATATTAATCATATAACATAATCCATTTTGCTTTGTTTCCAGGCTTGTTAGATATAATTATCAAACTTAAACAGCCACTCCAGTTTTCTCTCATCCGTACACCAGACTATTTCAGGGCTTTTCAGGGTGATTTCATGGGACATTAACTCTTAAATCATCACATTACGTGCAGCACTAGAGGAAATGTGACTCACTTTCCCACTTCACTAAAATCAGAGACATGCTGCGATGGTTACACTCATTACTCCTAACATCCCAGTTACACTTTTTAAAGGAGCATCTCTTTTTTTTATTACAGCAGCAGGAGTAATTTTACATTTGGACTTACTCTATTTCATCGGATTTGTTTTGTTTGTCTTTAATCAGGAAGCTCTATTTTATGGCACACCTAAGGACAAATTACATATATTAGAAACAACATCAAAACAAAACAATGACACATGTTCCATCTGAAGTTTATTAAAAATAATCATCACTAAACTTGTTTATTTTAGTCTTGGCTCAAAGTCATTTCCTAAAATGAAACATTTAGAGATTAATCCGATGTTTTTCAATATCCAACAACAAAAAGGACGGTGGTGGCGAAGTCCTTAGGGACTTGGCTTGGCAACTGGAAGGTCACCAGTTCAAGTCCCGGAAAGACCAAGTGCTACCGAGGTGTCCCTGAGCAAGGCACCGTCCCCTACACGATCCCCGGGTGCCGTACATAATGGCAGCACACTGCTCCTAACACTAGGATGGGTCAAATGCAGAGAAACCGTTTTGTTACATAGTACCTGTACTACGTAATGACAATAAGTTGAATCTAAATCTAAAATCTAAAAAAAAAGCTGTCTTTTTGTCGCCTGTTGGGCAAAACCCCTTGTGCTTTCTGTCATTTTGTAGTATAAATCCTGCTTTTTTCAAATGCTGGTTGTAATATATTTAATGAGCTCATGTGTTATGGTTTCCCCTCCAGATGTGATGGTGGGGATGGGCTACAACCTGGAGGAGATCCAGGAGTCTTTGGCTAAGATGAAGTACGACGAGATCACAGCCACCTACCTGCTGCTGGGCAGGAAGGCCTCCGAGGTGAGAACACAGACCTCTTATCAGTGCTTTACATATCATAACCATAATACATTTAATGAAAATGTAGCTTTTTTTTAGGTATTTTAAGATGCTTTATAAAGAGAAACAACATTTTATACCATCATACAAAATATCCAACCTTAGATTTAAAATAAGTACAATTTTCTATCAAAATCTTTTATAAAAAGTACAAAGGTATTCATATCAAGATACACAAAATGTTCCTAATGCTGGTAAAGGTGAAGCTATTGTTAGACTGCTGGGTAATTTTAACCTTAAATACAACAATTTATTTGAAGTAATTTATGTTTTGTATTGTAATCTTAATCTGCAATGACTAGCGCTGTCAAATATATAGTCAAGTAAAGGGAGCACCTTTTAAATATGTATTTGAGTAACTACCACTGATAATAAACACTCATGTACTGCGTGTTTTGTCCCAGATGGAGCCCAGTGAGTCGGCCTCCAACAGTAACCTCTCTCTGGCCAAACCCAGGCCCAACAGCGAGGTCAACGGACAGTCGCCGTCACACCTCAAAATCCAGAGGAGCGTCTCCTCCTCCAATCACAAGCAGAGACGTTACAGCGAACAAGGTGAGAAGAACGAGGGGATGGATGATGATGATGATGATGATGAATGATGATGATGATGATGATGATGATGATGATGATGATGATGATGATGATGATGATGATGATGATGAAGTTAACTGGATACAGAGGCACAAGTTAATAATTCCTTAAAAAGTTGCTCAGCGGCGCCATAAAACGTTCGACTTCTGATAAATAACATTTCCAGGACCTTTCTGGGGTCTTTTGGATTTGAACTCTGCGTTCTGCTTAAGCCTCTCTAATAAATGGAGAGGGGCGAATAACTCCCTACTTACATTTGTCAGGGTTCGTACGGGTGCTTGAAATCCTTGAAAATGCTTGAAATTTGACTTGGTGTTTTCAAGGTTGGGAAAGTGCTTGAATTTTGGGAATGGTGCTTGAAATTGAGATAAAGTGCTTGAAAATGTAAATGCTTTACTTTTACAATAAATTGCTGTCTGACTGAATAGTTCGCTTTTTAGATTAAAAGAAAAATAATTGCTTCGCTTCTAAAACAGCTCCGCTGCGGCCTTCCCGCGCTGTGCACGCGACCTGCAAGTGTTTGTGTTACGTGTGACCTGGGCATTCTGATGAGAGTGATAGATGACTGTGTGCCAGGAGGTTGCAGTTTCAACGAGCGTTGGCTAGCAGAAGACAAATACAAGCCATGGCTAAGACGAGGGTCAAGCCCACGAGTAGCCTCCTGCAAAGTTTGCAAAAATAATGATGCGAGAGTCTGCGCTGACGAGCCACATGAAAGGTACGCCGTAGTAGAGCATTTTAGATTAGGCTAACGTTGCATGTTACGTTTGTTTAAGCTAACGTTAGCGAGCTGATTAGCGAACTCGATGAGGGATAATAATAATAATTGCAGGGGACGATCATTTCAGAGGAGCGTACCTATGTTATGTGCGTTACAGTCGCCATCGTGTGGTGTTCAGAGGATAAAGCACTCACGGCATTTCGTGTTATAGACACGAAATATAATCTATTGATTCGACACGGAGCGATTTTGAAAGCAATGTATTTCTACTGGTAGTATGTTTCGTGCCTAAACCAAATGTGACTTGCTCTCTCGAAATCAGTCACATTGACCCGAAGACACATGTTCGTTTGTATTACTGGTCTGGGGGAAGCTCGCGAGTGTGTTTGTGTATTTTTGCGTTTGTGTACCGGGGAAACACTCACAAGAAACACCGGCTGTTGTTATGCTTGCTGTGATGTTACATTAGTCCGTTCTCTGCTTGTAATTATGCCGAAGCTTCAAAGTTGTATTTATCATCTGAATTTGCCGAAACAAGTTTAATATTCTGAAAGCCAAGACTTTGTTTATTTGAAAACCGATGAAAACAAACTGTCTTTTATCTAAAATTGAAGTATTATACAAGTAAAACTACATTTTGCTTTAATCCCATGTAATTGTAGAATGAACACAGTCTTCCTTTGAACATGTATAAGTCAGGTGTCTTGAGTAGTCAGCATTACCTACAAATTATTGTACACATTTGTAAATATTATTTTCCACTTGTTACCATTGTGAGTCTATTTTTATGCAGCTCTGCGTGATTTTGTGGCTACAATTCAGACTAATACGCTACCAGAGGTAGAAAAAGTACTCGATCTTGTACTTGAGTAAAAGTAGAAGTACCAGAGTGTAGGAATACTCTGTCACAGTAAAAGTCCTGCATTCAAAATGTTCCTCAAGTAAAAGTAGAAAAGTATTATCATCCAAATCTAGTTAAAGTACCGACAGTAAAAGTAGTCGTTGTGCAGATTGGTCCATTTCAGAATAATATATATGATATGTTTTATAATGATTGATCATTAAAGTGTTCTCAAAGCTGGTAAAGGTGCAGCTAGTTTGAATGGCTTTGTATACTGCAGGGTAGCTGGTGGATTTACTCCAGGTGGAACTAAAGTCTGATTCAACACTTGGTTATATTTCACATCATTCATCATCTGTGAAGTAACTAAAGGTATTAAATACATGTAGTGGAGTAGAAGTACACCATGTACCTCTGAACTGTAGTGGAGTAGAAGTACACCATGTACCTCTGAACTGTAGTGGAGTAGAAGTACACCATGTACCTCTGAACTGTAGAGGAGTAGAAGTACACCATGTACCTCTGAACTGTAGTGGAGTAGAAGTACACCATGTACCTCTGAACTGTAGAGGAGTAGAAGTACACCATGTACCTCTGAACTGTAGTGGAGTAGAAGTACACCATGTACCTCTGAACTGTAGTGGAGTAGAAGTACACCATGTACCTCTGAACTGTAGAGGAGTATAAGTACACCATGTACCTCTGAACTGTAGTGGAGTAAAAGTACACCATGTACCTCTGACTTGTGTTTACTGCCAACCTAAAAGTACCTCAAAAATAGTAATCAATAATGTATTGAAAAGTTATTTGGCTGATTGTTTTATATCGGCTCAGACAGGTTATATGGGACATACAGATGGGTCACTCATTTTGAAATATTAAACTTAGTTTTCTTTTCTTTAATTGTTCATCCTCGTGTAGAAGGCTATCACGAAACACACATTTGGTTGTTTATAGCATAAAGAACATCTGATTTAATGTGAGGTAGGGAAATAATCATTTGAGTATGTGTATATAAATATGTAATTTACAACAGCTGTAAGCTGCTGGAAAAGCTGGAAAATGCACCTTGAAAATGCTTGAAAAGTGCTTGAATTTGACTTTGGAAAAGGTGTAAGAACCCTGATTTGTCTATAAGAGCATTTTCCTAATTTTTGGACCTTATGGCTAATTCAGGTGTTGGTACTAGGAGGTTTATTTCCCTAAAAAAATAATGATATTCTGATTTACAGACGTCTCTTTCCTAATGTAAGTCAATGGGGAACAGTGTTTATGGACCCCATGGCATCACATAACTGACTAAGACGTTGTCATTCATGTTTTACCACAAAAACAATAGCCGCTTTCACACCAAGTACTTTGCCGTACTTAGTTCCCAGCACTAAGTTCCCCTATGGAACTAAAGAGCCGATCGCGTTCACACCGGAATAAGTCCCTGAGGGAAGATTACGCGAATGAAGCCGCTGACGTCACTTCTTCTGCTTCTACTGAAGCCTTCCGAGTAAATCGCCAGAACGCCGACACCTCCTCATCTCCACCGCTCCCATGTTTTATTTTGTGTTGCCATAAGTTAGTTTCTCTGCGTTGGTGCGTGGGGCTAATGCTAATGCTAATAATGCTAATGCCAGCAAATACAATGGCGGCTGTCACTACCCGATCCGTCCCCCTGCCCGATCTGTACTGCGCATGTGCGAGATGGTCCGCCATATTGGAGAACTCTGGACGGCAACCCAAGTAGGACACTTGACACAGTGGCTTTTGGCAAAGCACAAAAATAAAACTCGAGAGAGATGAGTTATTGTTATTACAACGTGACTTCACAATTATTTAACAACTCTTTTTATTGTTTTTTTTTATTTGGGGTTAAGTACATTGTCAGAATAAGTGAGGAATGAATGTAACTTCTGTTAGACATTCACAGTAAATATGTATTCAGTATGATCGCTGTCTAACAGAAGTTAAATCCATTTCTCACTTATTCTGACAATGTACTTAACCCCAAATAAAAGAACCCAATAAAAAGAGTTGTTAAATAATAGTGAAGTCACGTTGCATCATCTCTCTCGAGTTTTCTTTTTCAGCTTTGCCAAAAGCCACTGTGTCAAGTGTCCTTCTTGGGTTGCCGTCCGGAGTTCTCCAATATGGCGGACCATCTCGCACATGCGCAGTACAGATCGGGCAGGGGGACGGATCGGGTAGTGACAGCGGCTTCACAAAACCTTTCAGAGTTTTACGGGGCGTGGTTTGCAAGTCGCCCAGCCAATCAGAAATTGGAACTTTTTTCTCCCAGGAAAGTACCACCTCTCTAGCAGGCACTAAAAAGGGGGGAAAAGTTCTCATGAACTAAGTTCTCTTTTTGGTGTGAACGCAAAATCCCAGGAACTATCGGAACTAAACGGGAAAAGTATGGGGAAAAGTACTCCGGTGAGAAAGCGCCTAAAGTGCTTCAAAGCCTGGCACCCCTTATGTGGGATTAGTAGGACTCAACATTTAGTTTCCTCAATAAATGATCAAACATTGAAAAAGCCCAGAGCCCAACCTGTGCTGTGCCTCTCCCTCCTGATAAAGGTTGTTTCAGTCAGTAGCTCTTTGTCTGGCTGATACAAATCTGTTAAATCAAACACGGTCACATGACGGAGGCCCTTTAACCTTCAGCTTATTTACACAGCTCAGTGCTGCTCACTCTGACTGAACGCTTTGTCAATAACTCCAGTTTGTACTGCTTTCCTCTTCCTGTTAGATCTGCAGCTTAAATGGCTACACTACACGCTTTAAAGAAACATAAATCATAGAAATTAATCACCTTTTAAAGAATACCATGGCTGTGTGTATATTGTAACATTTTACAAATGACATACAATCACAGTTCGACACTTTGAGAGGTGCAACCAAAGGTTATTTTAATTATCAGTTAAGCTGCTGATTATTTCTCAATTGAAAATAATTGTTTTGGTCTTCAAAGTGTCTGTGATAAATTACGTTTTTTTGGACTGTAGATTAAACGAAACTAGCAAATAAATCAGGAGAACAAAACCATCAAATTTGAGAAGCTGGAACAACTGATTTTCTTGCTTAAGCAATCATCCAAATTGTTGTTGAATAGTTTTCTGTTCACCGACTAGTCAACTCATTATATCTGCTCAAGCCACACGTCTTTTTTTTGTGGTGGTGTGGCTTAAATCTAATTTAATTTGCAGACGTTTTTTTCAACTATGAACTAAATCACCCTGCATGAATGTTCTGATGATCACACCCTCAGTCACTTTGAGTCATTCCTTTTTCTAAATCTAGGTCGTCTCAGTTTAGATAAAAACACATTTTTAAAGAAGTGTTTTTTGCCAGAGGTACAAACAGCCTGTCTGAGTCACCGCGCCTCACATCTGCCTCCCTTTCAGTCGGTCAGAACGTCACCCCGGGGACGTCTCACCCAAAGAGGAGTCAGACCACCACGGCGGAGAACAGCGCCAAGGAGGAAGGAGGCGTCCAGCTGCGTAAGCCCAGCACCCCGGGGGGCCGCCCGCCCGCCAGCCCCCTGCTGGGCAACGCCAACAACCCCAACAAGGCCGACATCCCCGACCGCAGGAAAGGCGCCACAATCACCCCCGCCGTGAGTTACCTTATCAGATCAAATGCTAATTGACCTCGTTTATCCTGTGGTTAAAGTGGAAAACTAATTAATTCTAGCAGAGTTAAATAAGTAACACAAGCCAAGAGCAAGCATCTTTCCAGTATCACTAAAAAGGATCTATTGTATCTTCTCAGACCTTAAAATATTTCAAACACACGGTTCTATCTGGATGAAATATATTTCTAATCCAAAAAGCTATAAACTGTGTGAAATATAAAAGAAACTGTGGTTGTTAGAGAAGTGTTTTTGTATGTGTCATGTGCTTATGGTTCCTTTTTTATGTATAGAAATGAGTTTGTGCAAATTCTTGATAGTTTGGAAAAGGATTCATTTTAGCCGTTATCTTTGTAAGATTATAAATATGCTTGATTTTTGAATATCTTCCTATAAAAGTCTTTCTTTTCAACACCATAAATGATTGGATTTCTACTCATGGAAAGTATACAAATGCTTTCTTGTTTTTACTTTACAAAGAAACTGTTGGTCCTATTATATCAAATGTCTTACTTGAAACAGAGTCCTCCATGTATGTGCTTTTATATAAATTGAGTGCCTCGGCTGATTTCCTCTGCAGAATAACACCGCGTCGGCAGGAATGACCCGGAGGAACACGTACGTCTGCAGCGACAGAAACAACACTGACCGCCTCTCAGTCATCCCCAACGGGAAGGAGAACAGGTGAGAGGATGTTTGTCGGCTTTGACCTGGTTTCATCACAAAGCAACATCAAATCTGTGTCAGCTTAGAGTACAGAAAGGTGACCCCTAAAAGCTTTTAGTTAATGAACAGTTTTTATTGAGATTATCAACCCTTTACGTTATTGTAGAACCTTTTAAATAGAGGCCAGTATGTTTTATTTAGAGCTCGTTCTACCCAACAAGGTTAGTGAATCTGCAAAAACACAAACAAAAGCCTTCTTAACTCGCACAGAACCCGGCATTTTGCATTTGAGGGCCTGATTCATCCAAGCAAACTAAATCTCTTTTGGCACAAAGTACAGAAAGCTGACTGCTTTTTCTTTCTAGATTCATTTTCTTGTTGTGCAACCTTTGCATTGGAGCGAGTATTTTTCTACTTTTATTTCAAGCTTTCTCTTTTTCACAAGGGAAAGGTGACATATTTTCATTCAAGAGCTGTCATTTGAGATCCTTTGTGAATCCAATGCTTATGATGGTCGACTACAATACTAATTCATATTTATACACAAACATATTAGCCTCCTCAACTCATACCGAACTCTAACAGCAGCGTTTCACAACTTGAGGCACATTAATTTGTAAAAGGGAATTCAGGATCCTACGAAAACATTTCCTTTTTTGTTTCATCCTTTTTTATTTCTACTCTTTTTTTCTTGTAATCACTTTCCCCTTTTCTCATCATCTTATTTTTTTCGTTTCTGCCTGTGTTTCTGGTTTGGTTGGGGTTTTGTTTTCACTGTGGCATGAGCAGCATGAGCGAGATGGCTTGTGCCACTAGCCCCTCCTCCTCCTCTGGCTTTGCGGCCGCTGCGTTTGCGGCCTCGTCCAGCTCGGTGCGGCTGAGGTATCAGAACGTGGGCCCGTTGTACATGGGCCAGGCGGGCTGGGCCACGCTGCCCCACTCCTACTACGCTCTGGACTACTACTCGCCCAAGTAAGACGGCAGGGCTTCCAAAACATCTTCCCCCCCCCCCCCCCCCCCCCCCCCCCCGTCTGTCTCATGCCTCAGCTCCGGCCCCTCGCTAACCCTCACATCCAGCCAGCTTCACTCTGTAACCCGCCACTAAACCATGGACACCATTTCCTGCAAAGAACAGAAAGGAGGGCCACTTAGTTTCTGGTTGTCAGTGTCTGAAATGTATGCTCATCGGTCACAAGCAGGTGAAAGAAAAATACATTTTAAAGGAGTGTTCCTGCGAATGCTTGAAAAGTCTTAGGTTGAGAATACGTTGCGCTAAAAGGAAGTCAAAATGTTTTTTTCTAGCATGACGCCATGATAAAAAACAGACCCATTAGTCTTGATGAGTAGAAGTTAATGGTGGCTGCATATAACAACAGCAAAAACACATTTTGCAGTATAATTCAAACACAAGCATTTTTTATAAAAAAACATACCTTTTTTCGCAAAAACATTTAGCAGGTGTGCTACTTGTCTGTGCAAGTACAAAGTGTAATAAAGAGTAAGATGTAAGCATTAAAGCATGAATGTTGATGTACAGAAGGGTATAGCAACCCTATTTTAAGTGTAATTTAAAACAAAAATGTACTGAGTTCCTGTGAAACTTAAATGCTGCAGTTTTTGGCCTTTCTGAAAGGGCTGCAGTTGGCTTCATTACAAACTTCTGCAACTGTTCAACAAACTACTTGACCTCTGCGTGGCACGTTCTCTTCTCTACAAACCAAAACTAACCTGCTAGACGACGTATTTCTTTTAAAACCAGTTGGTAAAGATTGTCGTCCTTGTTGTGTAACTTTAGTCCTCGTTTTCAACCCTTCTCCCTTTAATAAGCTTGTGAAATATTTCCTTTGTTCGAAACAGCTGCAGAAGATGTCTGAACCTAACCAGGGTACAAAAAGCACCTGTGGAATCATTATCTTATATATTAGCTTACCCTGAGTGTCATTGTCACTTTACAATGTATTGTTGAGAATGAAATGATTTAATGTTGGCTCTCTTCAGCAAATGATTGAAGCAAAATAACTTGTGGATCAAGAAGAGGGATAGGGCAATCACCAAAGTCAAAATTAGAGCGGATGCTAATCCAATCGGGAAAACATGAAAGCAAAACAACTGTATAAACTACATAACAGCATCTATTACTGTAGCAGATTCACTTTAGTAATTTATCCACCAAAACAAACACTTTCACCTGCGTGTAAACATGTTGGCTGTTGATTTCAGACGCTGCTAAAGTGGAGGCACATGTAGAGAAGAATATGAATCCTCACACTGAAATCAAGCTGCCACGCTTTGATGAACGAGCTCCTAAGCTCTGTGTGTGATGATATTTTTCCACGTTTGCATCACCTCTCCTTCTGCCAACCACAAACTGGAGGAGTCTCGCTGCAGACATTTGCAAAAACAGAACTCTTCACAGCGCTGCTCACGATCTCTCCTCCTCATCCTCTGCCGTGACCTCTGACCCCTGATCTTCTCCGTCTGGATCCTCCTCCACCTGTTGGTGTCCGACACGATGAGCCGAGCCCCCCCCCCCCCCTCCTCCCCCCATCGTCTGTTTCTGTTTAGTCTCTAACTGATCAGGGACTAAACTCACTCTTCTCATTGTGCACGACAGGAGCTTGGTGGTCAGGGTGGGAAATTAAATCCCTCAAATCCCCCTACTTCTACAGCCTTTTCTTTTCCTTAAATGTTCTTTGGCTGAATTTATGTACGTAATCTCCCACTTTAATATTTATTCAAAAGAACAGTACCCCCCATCAAATCTGAAATGCATATTTGTGTTCACTTTCCTGTAGTACAACTTGCAGGATGTTGGCATTATCAGCCGTAGAGATGACGCTTTCTCTCCAATATTACAGAACTAGATGGCACTTTGTTTGTGTTTCTCAAAACTGCATAATTTACATTAAAAAAAAAGAAAGAACTCCACAGTAATGTCTCTTTCCAGAAATCGTGACTCAACTGTTGTGAACAGATTCACGTAGGAACTTTTCTACTCAATCCACCAGCCTATGTGATTGGATGATTTGCATTTTTATTTAATTTCCTACCCTGTTGACCTCTAACATGCAAGAATCATTCACTTCAAACCCATGGCAATTCTAGAAATCCACAAACTCTACGCCGTTTTTTATGATAAGAAATGTAATATAATATGAAAATGCGATGTAAGAATAAGCCGTTGCAGCAGTAGTATGATTATGATTCAAACTATGAAGCAACCTTTGGTTTTTACTGTCACTTTTTTTGGGAGGGAAATTTAGCAGAAGATATTTCAAATGCACCACTACATAAAGAAAAGGTTCATAAAAGTGTAATTATTCTGAGAAAACAATTAAAAACTGATGCTTATTGTGAATTATGCCTGCAGTAGATAGCTGAATACAATTATACTTTGCACACGGATTTAGCAATAAGGAAGTACTTGTGGCTTCTCGCTTAGGTTCAGCATATTATGACTTTTATGAAATGAGCTTTTACAGAAGAAAACAACAAACTCATTTGGATGAGTTTTTGTGTATCAGGAACTAAAACACTGTTATCAAATGAAGTCGATCTCCATGTTTCAGACTTTTAGGGTTAGGGGACTGCATTCCCCGTTTAACGCGTTGAGTTTGGACACGAAGAGAAGCTACGTTTCTCTCGTATACATTTACTGCTCTGTTATCAGAAAATATCACAGATTTTCTCTACTAAATGTATGAATTTAAATTCATACATTTTTATTTAAAATGTTTAGCCACCAATAGCCCTGATACACCCAAGTAGAATCCTCTATAAAATATGAAAACGTTATCTCCTTCACACCTACTATACCCTTTAATGACTAAAAGACTAATATAACCTACCAATACATCGAGGAACCCGTCTGCAGTGCAAAAACTGTTTTATTATTTAAACTCTCACACTAACTCCCCCCCCCCCCTCAGCAGTGTTGAAGCCTCCCCGGGCGACCAGAAGAACCCGGTGGCGTCGATCAACAGCATCGCCAACGCCTCCACCCCCGACCGCCTGCGCTTCCCTCGAGGGACGGCCAGCCGGAGCACCTTCCACGGCGGCCAGCTGAGAGACCGCCGCACGGCCACGTACAACGGCCCCCCCGCCTCGCCCACACTCTCCCACGACGCCACCCCACTCTCTCAGACCCGCAGCCGTGGAACCAGCAACCTGTTCTCCAAACTCACCTCCAAACTCACCCGCAGGTAAGCAAGAAAAAAAACACACCTCATGACACGCAAGCACCAAAGGGTTAGCCCTCTGCTTATTATCCTGTGACTCTTGTCTTTTCAAAATAAAAGCCAATAGGTAGGCGAGAAGAAAAACACCTCATGACTCTGAAGCACTAAGGGTTGGGGTTTAGCTCTTTCTGTTCACTTTAAAATGTACATTTAATAACATAGTTTACGGACATTTAAACAAATATTCAATTGATTTAAATCCTGAAACAGAAAGAAGACTCCAGCCCTCTGCTTATTCTCCTGGGACTGCCCATCCACACAGTGCCTTGTAGCGTTAGGATGATTGATTACTTTCTTTGGGATCCCTTCACCGTCCTGTACGATGTGATTTATTTTCAAGTCTATGTTGTTTATCCGTCGCTGCCTGGACGCCTGCCACAGAGGCATGAAACCACTCTGAACGAGCCTCAATTTGACCTGAATTTGGGATATTTGAACAATTACAGCGATGAGTCTGGAATTGTAATTCATTAGAAACGTTTGCTGATAATTTTTCTTGCCTAACAGTCATGAAGAGATCTTTTCATGGCGTGAATATTCTCAGAAATAACACCTCGAGTTTGTGTTGTTCGGTCTAAATCTGGACTTTTTTTCACACCATTCTTTCACAAGCAAACCGGAACTTGTAAAAATAACTTTTAATGAATAACTAAAGAAATGATTCAGCCAAAAAGGAAATAAACCAGCCTCTTAAATGTGAATATTGGCAGATTTCTTATAAACTGAATACCTGGAGGTGTTGGAGCGTGGGTTGAACCAAACATTTAAGCCTTTACTTTGGTCGCGTGTCAGCGGGGGAAAATAACTACGAACATTTACTTAACTTTTTTCAATGTAGGCTACCTTACACTTCTACGCTCCTACATCTCAGAGGGAAAGACTCGCCTCCTCTACATTATTGAATGGCTTAAGTAGCATTTCAGATCATTTGTATTATTAAGAAATATTAAAATAAAAACAAATAAATAATATTACAGACTAAACTAATCAGCAGTATATAACGTTATTACATTAAAAAAATGAACACATTCATGCTTAAATAATTATAAACCCATTATATTAGTAATATTCTAGCATGGGTCATTCTGCATAACTTGTAATTAAATAAGTATATTTTTACACGGCAGTATAATTCATTTGACCTAATTTAGGGATCTGATAGACTTGTGTGTCGATCACCACAATAATAATTGCTACCATTTTAAGTATTTTTACGATTAATCCTGCCATTTAAATCTTTTTTACATTAACTTGGAAACGTGGAAAACCGCAGAGGGACATTTTAAACACATTTTACAGCAATTTTTTTTTTTATTTCAAGATAAATAGAGAAATCCATAATACAAATAATTGATAAATGCAGCTCTACTGAATACTTCTTCCACTATTGGCTGTAGGACTTTTTTTTGTTGAATATCCATTTCATTTTCTGGCATTTTTAATCCCCAAAAATTGCTCCGAAAGAAGAAAAATGATCAGCAAACAATGAGAACAACACCTGCATTAAAAGGCTCTTAAAGTGGCAGCCAGGCCAGCGACTCCTGCAATGACCGAACAAAAATGAGGAATTGAAATCATTTGATCATTAATGCAAATAAAATAATAATGTTTCCACTGTTGATGATTCCAAGCACCCCATTGTTGTTCCCTCATTCAGATCCTCACCCCCTCTCCCTCCTCTCACTCCTCCTTTCACCATTTTCACTGTTTCTTTGTCTGATTCTGTTGTAGAAACATGTCATTCAGATTTACCAAAAGGTAGGACTCTTGTACTGCCTTTCTTTCCGCTCTGTGCCAAATAACAAAAGCACTGGAAATTCTATGAAACTCTGCAGACGTGTGAGGCTGCTGGCACTCAACTAACACACCGCTTGGCAGGGAAAAAACTCTGGGTACATTTACACACATTTTATAGTCAGCTAATGTGTTTAAAATAAAGTTTCCAGTCATATTACAATAACAATTTGACAATTACATTTGTCAATATTTTTTGTTAGAGGAATATTTTGGCTAATACGCTTATTTGCTCCCTTGCCGAGAGCTCGAATATTTATTAACGTTGGTTAGCTTAGCTTAGCATAAAGACTGGAAGCAGAGGGAAACTACTAGCCTGTCTCCGTCCCAAGCTAATGCAATGAAACACCTCTAAAGTGCACTAATTTACACATTCCCAAATTCATTTTCAATTTCATAAACAAACACTGAGAATAAATCTGTCAAATCTGTCAATGGTTGTAAGACGTAACCATGTATGCGACTACAGATAAAAGCAATACTTCGGATTTTTTGTTTTGTTATTTAGGTCGGTTATTAAGTGAACTTTGTATTGATCTATTATTTTGTCTACCCCTTTTTATATAAATGAGTTTAGGCATAATATAAGAAACACCTCTCTATAACAACATAAAGTTTAATACCACCACAAACTAGTTGGAAGTTATAACTATAAGTGAGCTTCAGACACATTTGATTTCGTACATTTGTATAGAGCCAGGCTAGCAGTTTCCCTCTGCTTCCAGTCTTTATGCTAAGCTAACTAGCTGCTGGCTGTGTCTTCATCATATCAACTGAATTATGAGAGTGGTATTCTTATCTTTCCCTCTGGAAGATATTGAATCAGGGTATTTTCCAAAACCTCTAAACAATTCCTTCTTTATCCGTTAAGATCCAGCAAAGATGATTTTCTTAGTTCAGCATTAATCTGGTTTGAATTGGTGTGTGTGTGTGTGTGTGTGTGTGTGTAAATGTACCCAGTGCTGCTGTGGTTGGTCTCTGATTGGTAGTCTGGTTTACCATTCAGTCGATTTTACCCACAGCAACAACGCAGCATCTTGCCACTAATCGATTGCTGATGCATGCATGAGAGGGGGGGGGGGGGGGTTTACAGCTGCTGTTGACTTGTGGTTTGTTTTTCTCACCACATTGATTGTTGTTATCGACCTAACTCTCTCTGCTGATGAAACTGCACACTTTAAACGAAGCCTTGAACACCTTACTGCTGCATTTATTCACCTTAAAACAAATGTTACTTTTGTATGTGTTAAAGTCTCACTGACTCAGACGTGATTTTGTCAGGTGGATTTGATCCAGTTGCAACTTCATAAAGAGCTTCAATTATTTATTTTGTTCTTTCTTGTAAACACCACATTTGTGTAGATTGCTGTGTAAGTGTAGGACTTTGGTTAAAACAACCAAAATATATGTTTTCATTTAATGTGAGTTCTTGGGCAACATCTGATGTTCCTGAACTGGATTGATTAGCTTTGGTGATCACTATAAGAACCATTTTTAAGTTGAAAACCAGTGAGAGCTTCAGTCCGGGCATCAGGGGGGGCGGGGGTGGTTTTCTTCGATTAGAATTCATGAATCCGTTTATGTAAGCTGTAAATCACCATAAATACTGAATGTACTCAACAATATCCATCTGTCTTTTTAAAAAAAGAATCTGCAATAGGGTATTTAACAGAAATCATAAAGGACTGTAAATAAAAGTTATCAGCTTTGAGAATAGTTTTGAACAAATACAATCTTACATTTTGACTCATTAATGGCTGAAGATGTGGATACTGTTTTCTTTTAACACACGGTATACTCAAATCTCCTCCATCGCTTTATCATCTAAGGACAACACTGACAAGTTCATTCAACACACATTTTTATTATAAATACATTATTTTATTTCAATTCATTTACGATATATTTTCTTTGATGTCGCTGAATAGTTTGATCTAAAATATGTTGAAAGCTAGTGGCAGAAATGTCTTTAATGCATTTAGTGGCTCGTTAGCCAGCATTATTCAGAAGTATATGAATCTCTCATTTACACGAAGGCTTCCTTTCATCCCCGTTTTTGTCCCCGATTACTTACTTAATATTGTCTCTAGGTTGAGTACTATCTGACTCAACAATAAGTACATATATTGTATGAAAACGTACAAATAATCCCATTAAATCTACTTCCTCTTCAACCCTCTCATGGTTAGAAGTGCATCATTAATCATTTTAGAGGTTTATCACATTAAACCTTGTTGTTTCCCGGGTACATTTTACAAAATGTTTCCCACTAATGTCATGACATTTCAAATAAAACCTAACAAGCCAAATAAGTTTTATATACCAGTTTATTAAAGCACATTTATTGAATATATACCAGATCCAGGCTCTTATAGTAGTCTTTATAATATAGCAGTATGAGCTGTGGCCTCTGAGGGGCAGCAGAGGGTTTTTGGCCCTCGCAGGCCACCGTCCGGAGGCTCGTGGCGCCCTCTAGTGGCGGATTGGTGAACTGTCTTCTTCCTCCGGTATCGTCTTCATCATCACCATCCTCCCATCTCACTCTTTTCACCTTTTTTTATGTTTTTTTGTGTTTGTCTTCATTTTCAGTTGTGACAAAATCTTTTGAACTGTTTTCAGATCAGTCAAGAATATAACTAGATGCATCAAGAGGTGATATTGTTAGTTTAACAATTACAAATCTCAACCATCGACGCTGCAACTATCAGCTGTTTTTAATTTATGATTTATTTATTGATTATTTTCTTAATTATTATTATTTTTTTAATGTTAAGAAATGTTTGAATTTTTTTAATGTTCTCCTTTTAAGCCAAACTAAACAATAACAATCTAGTTGTAATATAATGAAAGGAGTTGTCGGTGTGAGTCCAGAGCAGTGATTGGTCCAGAGGCTTCATGTTTAAATAAAGTGAGGAACTAAAACTTAAAGCACCGATAACTATTGATAATCAATAGTTTGAAGTAATGTTCATACAACATTTAGTTTGAAACATCTAGGGTGTGAACATTCCTTGTTTGTTTTAGTTTTATTTTTTATTTAACTTATCATAAACTCAATATATTTGGGGGATTAAAATACACCAGCTTGAAAGTTAAGAAACTCGGACGGATATTTTTCTTACTATTTTCGGACACATTTTATTATTGGATAGTAGTTTAGTCGATAAAAATAATACGTATATAAATATATAATAACATAAATAAAATAAAAAGTCTATTCTCTATTTCATAGTCTTAGTTAAGGACTTTTTGCTTCTTATAATGAACATTTAGGAAGCTTTTACTTTTGCACTCAAATTTTAATTGTGTAAAACGATAACATTATATATTTATATATCAGTTATATTTTTGACTTTCCTCGTAACATTTTACTTAATTTTGTCGCCTTCCATTTGAACATTTTGGGATTTTAGCGGGTGAGTTTTATCATGTTCCTCTTCCTCAGGACATTGTTAGTCAGTCACCTCCCTCCTCTTCCTCCTCCTCCTCCTCTTCCTCCTCCTCCTGTTCCTCCTCCTGTTCCTCCTCCTGTTCCTCTTCCTCACAGTTTGTGTGTTTCTTGTCCTCCTAACCGTCCTTGTCCTTTAACCTTTGACCTCTTGCTGCTCTTCCTCTCAGGGTCAGTATTGACCCGGCCAAACGGCAGGCGGCCAAATCAGGTCCGGCCGCCCCCCCCACCCCGGGAGGAAAACCCCTTAGTAAGTCTCTCCTGCAGCCTGTCCTTCCTGCCGTCTCATCCTCCTCCATCTTTTTTTACGCCCACGTCCATTTCCATTTTAATATTCTTTCCCTCTCTCTTTTTTTTAATTTTTTTTTATTGTCATGTGACCATTGAGGAATTTTTTTTCAGATTCCCATTTTGTCTTTTCAGATTCAGGAGCGGAAGATATAGAGAGTTGTAGGAAGATGAAGATCTAGAGTAAGGGGCTGTTTTTCAATCCCTCAATCTCTCGAGTCTTGAGTTATGTGGAGGATTTCCTCACCCTCTCACCCCCCCCCCCCTCTCTCACCCCTCGGTCTCTCTGAGCGATGCAGGACTTATTTATGTCGGTCCTCGTCTGTCCGTTTGTCTCCTCGTTGTCTCTCAAGCTGTCGGGGAGTATGGAGTCACTTCCTCTTCCTCCTCCTCCTCCTCCTCCTCTTCCTCCTCTTCGTCCTGTTTTGATTTTTCTCTGTTCTCCGGACTGCAATGCATGCTGGGAGCCTGTTAACCCTGTCCTGTGAGAGGAGCCTTTTCTGCTTATTTAGCTTTTATAATGTCATCTTTGGTGATTTGACTCAGACGTCCTGATTCTGTTCAATCTGCAACAAACTAAGGACCGAGGGTAATATATGCTGTGGAGATTGTAAAGCCCTCTGAGAGACATTTGTATTTTGTGATATTCGGCTATATAAATAGAATATGATTTGATATAGGGCTGGGTTAAATCTAATATAAAGTTGTTTTTGATCAAATACCTCTATCTGTATTGTGGTGATATTGTAGGGTTGATTATTGGTGCTTTCAGAAATTACTAAAACAATGATATTTTTGGTGGATTATCATTAGTTGTGTGGTTATAATTGCTAAGTGGGTAAAGTAAAATGAATAGAGTATCTAGAACAGTACAGACAATTATATCCGTGAACTATAATGCAGCCTTTAAAACCAGAAAAAGACATTTGTGTGATATCTAGTGTCAAATAAAGACTTTGATACATATATTTCCCAGCCCTCATAAATGTGATAGCTTGACACACATCTTTTTAAGACAAATATATAAGAGATGGCAGAAAACTGTCTGGAGATGTTTCCCCTTTCTCTGTTTTATGTCCATTAAAGGAAAGTCTTTTAGTTTTGGACTGACAAAAGAAGACATGTAAAGACATCCCGCTGGACTTTTAGAAACTGGGCTGGACATGTTTGCACTATTTTCTGACCTAACATCGGTTAGCTGCAGCCCGGCAGTATAGGATATTTAGATTTGGAATAAGGTCAAAGTAAAATGTATTAAATATGATGAAATCCCGATGATCTTCTGCTGAATGATGTCAGGGAACATTTGGTTTTATTTTTAGGTCTGCGAGTTTCTCTTTGTAGCCTTTTTTTCTGCATCAACCTAGAAAAGATGTGTCCTAGTTTTCTTTGTGGACTCAGCTTTCCCCGAGGATATTATAACGTCAAGATAGATTCTTTACGAAGGGACCAGAGAGCAAAGACAGATAGTCAGAAACAAGATCCCATCTTCATCGAGTTATACGACCGATATTAATTATTGCTAAAAAGGAACAGGCTGATAATTCAATATTATTCTCTTTTTTAAAACTGGATTTCATCAAATGATGTAGATCACATTAATACTAAACTCATTGTCTTTAAAATGGACAACAATACATGACCAAATTAAGGTTTTTGGCACATTTCTAACCTTTTTAAGGTTACCCTCTTTAAATGTGTAGCAATGGAAGACAGCTTTTATGTGTTAGACGGATTTAAATGTATATTTTTAGTTAAATATTGAAATTTCATCGAATACATTTAAATCAGTAATTGTGCGTACATGTGCTTATCAATAAGGGGCCATACAAATATTTGAATCTGTGAAAATATAAAATTAAAATAAATACACCAGTTAATCAAATAAATGTGAAAATATAAATAATGGAGAAAAGTATTTGTTTATATATTTCTGTTGGATATTTATTTAGTCACAAGTTGATTCTTGCAGTTTTTTATTATTTTACAGATAAGGAATAATGATCTTGCTTTAGAGCTGTTTTCTGCCTTAATATAGATTGTAAATGTGTGTTTCAGGAGTACAGATAAATAAAAAAAACATCTAAGAGAAATCCCAGCACCATCACCCCCCTTTAAATATTGTATTTAGAACCCACCTGATCCCACCTGTTTGCTGTACTCAATGTTACTTTTCTGTTTTGGATGCAAAACCTGATCATTTCTGTATTTAAATTTCTTTTTTTTTAAAGTTTTAAATCACCATCTGAACATTTATCACTGTTTTTATTTTTGTCATGCTTCTTCACTGGAAGTCAAATCATATTTTTGTGTTTGTTTTCTCTGTGTGGCTCCTGTTGTGTCACTCCTTATATAAACGTCACATATTCTTTTTTTTTTGTGGTATTAATATTCTTGTCGTGCACAATCCACATCTCTGTTCTTCTTTTTTCCTCCCTGTCCGATCTTCTCGTGCTCCTCAGAGTCTCAACCGAGTTTGAGAGAAACGGGAGACTTGAGGGCTCAAGGTGAGGAAACATTTAAATGTGTCGGCCATCTTTACACCCTTTGTTGCTCGTCCCTCTGCGCAGGAATCCCTCTCTGCTTTGTCTGAAAACCTGTGTTGCATTTAGCTTGTTTTCTATTGTTATGTTTGCATGGCATTTGTGTTCTTGTTTACCTGAGAAATGCTTCAAATACCCCCTCTTGCATAATGAACGTTTTAAATGCACAGCATGGGTGTGTCTAGCACCACTTTACAAACACCTGTTGGGAAATCATTTGCTTTCAAGCTGGGAGTAAGATGAGAAGCTAAGCCAATATCATTCTCACACTCTAGATATAACATTTATTTATAGTAAATGTGTAGCTTCATTTCTGTTAACATTGGGAGGAGACATGCTAGCAGTTTCCCTCTGCTTCCATTCTTTGTGCTAAGCTAACTGACTGCTAGCTGCTTTAGCTTCATATATATTGTGGGGACTGGAGAGCGGTATCCTCTCATCTAACTCTCTGTGAATTCTCTCAAAAGACCCAACTGTACTTCCTTATTTGACCAGCTGCTCTGACTGGTGCTCACTGCATGCTATGTATACGAATACAATGTTGTTTGTCGGTTTATTAGGTCCATTGTAGGTTCAAGACGATACACATTAACAGCCAGGCGAGGGGGTTACATTCTGGGAAGTAACTTTCCCATGATTTAAATTTACAAGAGAATAAACTCTCACATATTCAAACCAAAAAAACATTTTGAATTTGAATGAATGAATCTGGGGTTTTCTAAGACGGCCATTTGCAATATAAAAACTTGCACATTTTTAAAAGAAAAAAACTTGAGAATTCTGAGTTTAAATCATGCAATTGCAAGAAAGACCTATTCAATGATCTTAGATATAAGTAAAAGGTTTACAAGAAAGATGACAGAATATTCAAGCAGTTTTCAGATAATGTATAAGGTTTTTTTATGTTCCACTTTATTGTAAAAGAATATCACTTTTTTTGTAACTTTCAGACTTTAATCTCAGAATATCCACGTTTTTTCCTTCTCATTTTTAGTAATAGAAATGTGTTTTTATTAATGAAGTCCTTCTCGTAATAATACCCAACAACAGCCTTAATACACCGTCCTAAAGCGGGGAATCAAACCTGCCAACACTAAAACACCCTTTTGTGTTTCTTTCTCCCAACAGTCGCCATGTACCTGGGGATCAAAAAGGGGAAAATAAAGACAGTAAACCCCGCTCCCTCAGATTCACTTGGAGTATGAGGACCACCAGCTCCATGGAGCCTTGTGAGATCATGCGGGAGATTCGCAAGGTGCTCGACGCCAACAACTGCGACTTCGAACAGCAAGAGAATTTCCTGCTTCTGTGCGTGCACGGGGACGGGCACGCAGAGAACCTGGTGCAGTGGGAGATGGAGGTCTGCAAGCTGCCCAGACTCTCGCTCAACGGCGTGCGCTTCAAACGGATATCCGGATCATCCATCGCTTTCAAAAACATTGCATCCAAAGTGTCCAACGAGTTAAAGCTATGAACAAAAGGGTTTAAAAAAAGTATACATATATATATCTAGAAGTATTTAAGCTGTACAATCATCCAAGTAGCAGTTTCCAAATGTCTCCTTTTTTTAAAAACAAAATACAGAGTATGTATTGAATATTATAATGTATAGATTAAGGCTTTTGGCAATAATCACTGATACTAATATCTCAGTCTATTCTGGCCACACCGGGTCAACATTAACGAGTTGAATATGATTTGTCATGCTGTGAATGTGGACAAAAAAAGAAAACATTTCTAGTCTTTATTTATTTCATCTTTTGGTTTTTTTCCTGGATAAAAATAAGAAAAAAATTACGTAGCGTTGTTTTTTTGTTTGTTTTCAGTGTAAATAATGTATCTTTTCTTTCAAGACGGCTTCACTGCAATACTCATTTTGTTTTTCTTTTGTATTTCGTTCAAAAAGTAGAGATGGGGTAAGTCCGTGTAAATGCTCACATGGTTTAGGGTCACTCATGTCTCAATTAAAAGTGTCTGTCGACTTGAACGTCTCACGCTGATCATTTGTATCCTGACACCATGAAAATATAAAAACGTGTTTCCTTCAATTCTGCTGCTTCTGTGTGGAGCTTCATTTCAGAAACACACATTTTAGTTATTTATAAAAGGTTTAAAAATAAAAAGCCCTTAAATATGGTTTTGTGCATTAAGAGAAACATTCTGGAAATATGGGTTACTTTAAAACACTAGTTTACCAAACAATATGTACTGTATTGTTTCTTTTGAGGTCAATTGGGTGACAAACCATGATTTTGATCTATTAAGACTACAAACCCCATCCTCCACTTTCTCTAAATGAAATGTAACAGCTGTTGAGTTCAACAGCTGATTCTACTTGGTTTGGTATGGACTGCAGAATAAAGACAAACGAGCTCTATGTATAATTGAGCTTACATAAAGTTGGGAAATCGATGAGAATTTAAAAACCTTTCAGAGCCTGTGTCCACCTCATGTCATTACTTCGCTAATATGAGTTATAACACTGGCGCCTACATTTCCCATAATGCAACCCATTAGCACAAGCCTCCTGAACTGGCAAAGTTAATGTATGATCTCTAAAGTAAATACATCCTTGAAGCCGCTTTAAATGTCTCTAAAAAATGTTGATGCTGAAAGACGAGTCTCAGGTATAGATAAACGGTACTTTTGCATAATTCCTTGTTGACAGTGTTCAAGATGTAATGCTTTCATGGCCTGATGTTATTGTAGGTCCAGCTCATGGTAAGATTCTTTTAAATGTTAATCTGCCAACATTTGGCTGGTGCTGGTTTAGCTGCATTTGGGAGACGAGGGCAGCTAAAGCTTAAAGCAAAGTAGTGAACCCTTTATGTTAGATCTGAAGTTATCATGAAACTGAGAATGAAAACTGAAAATCTCGGTGCAGGAATCACAAGAATTTGAACCAGAACATTTTTTTATTTCATTGCCATCCTCACAGGTTTTAAATACACAAACAAAATCCAAACTGTGATACAGAATGCATTCAGGGACAGAGTCAATCATTCAGGGGGGGAGGGCCGTGTGAGGTTTATGGGCGTCAGGATGTGTTTACTTCTGGGCGGGCATGATGTCGTCCATGGACTGGCCCTTCTCCAGCTTCTTCTCCATCTCCACCATCAGCCTGACGCCATCCACCACCATCTGCACCAGCTCCACCTCGGAGAAGCCCAGCCTGTCGGCGTTGGAGATGTCGAACACTCCGCCCACAGCGGCTGTGTCCACGCCACCTGAGGGGCAAGACAATACATGTCATTACCCGAGCTGATCCAAAGACTACAACGATGCCGAGAAGTGGGCTGAATGTCAGTCAATATGACACGCAGACTCCACTTTAGCAGGAGATGCGTTTCTAACTGTTTGAAAAATATAGATTTTGAGTTGAGACACTATTGAACAATTATGAAAGATGTACAAACCGGTTCCACGCTTCTGGAGCCTCAGCTTCTTGAGAATATCCTCAAACTTGGCATTTTTGCTCAAGTTGGGCAGCTTCACGTGCACACCGGCACGCAGACCGGTGCCCAGGTTGGATGGGCAGGTGAGGACGTAGCCCAGGTGCTCGTTCCACATGAATTCATGTTTCCTCTCCTTGAACAGGGTCTCAATCTGAACACAAGAACCAGGATGATTAGGTCTTTTAAAGATCAAGGCTGCATCAAATGCAGAACCATTTACACAAAACAGACTTGCGCTACAGATAAACTTTGCATTTCCTGCCAACCTTGGTGAGTCCGGTGCAGAAGCGGTTGAACACTTCCTTCATGTTGCCACCTTTCTGCATGGAGATAACACGCAGATGGTCCTCCTCATTCACCCACACAAGGAAGGTCTTGTTGTCGTTGTGCCTGAATAGAAAAACATTTACATTCTTTAGTTTTGATCTTAAATTAGATTTCAGCAAACTAAAAACACAAGGTTGTGAGACAAGAATATTTTTAGGTCTCACCAGATGCCCCTGGCGTCGGGCCAGTCACGGCCCATTCCGGAGGCCAGCAGCAGAGGAGACACTGGCTTGTCAAACAGGAAGTGGTCGTCGATGAGCTGCTGCTGCTCAGCATCTGACATGTTCTTCAGGGCGTAGTACTTCCCCTGCAGGTCTCCACTCAGAGAGTCCAGAGCTGCAGATGAACGAACATTAATGGTGCGCATTTGGAGCGGTCATGTACTGTATTCTGTTATTCCTCCTGCTACCACTAGAGGGAACCCCCTGCCACACAAATGAGGACCAGCAGCATCATCTGACTTCAGTAAGCATCACGGGTTTAGGCCTCAACCCTAATGCAGCTTATGCAACAGAATCATCCTGTCTCCATCTGTCAGCGACTCAGGACAGGAGTCGAGTTCCTGCACAGTCAAAAACATGTTTGAGTGTCCTCTTACCCTCGATGGAGAGCTGCTCCACAGCACGCCTCTCTCCTCGGCTGCAGTGAGGTGGCAGGCAGAAGCCACGGACGCTGCGGCCTGTTCGCACGCGAGAGCTCAGGACGTAGTCTGAGTCAAGGTCGTCACCTCCCTGAGGAGGACACACACACGTTAGCTTCTCTGCACAGTGTTGCCGTCGGCCATTTTACCTGAGCAGAGGGCTGCGGTACCTTCAGGTTATCTGGGTTGATGTCAGTCTTGTGCTTGTCTGAGGGTTTGTAGCCTCCATGCCTGTCCTCGATGACGGGGTCCAGCAGCTCCTTGAAGACCTCGTATGTCTCCTCGTCTCCGGCGACGCAGCCCACAGTCATGATGAAGGGGTGGCCTACACACAAGGTCAAAAGGTCACAACGGAGACAGGACAGGAAGACACACTGACCAACATCCTCACTACCTCAATGTGCTCTCTGGATGGGACTGCATTACTGTACCAGGATTATCAACTCCTGTCTGAATGACACCATCTATGGTGAAGCCGTTGGGTGTAGCCCGCTCTCTCAGCTCCTTGTAGATGTCCAAGGTTAAGACCTTGGACATGTGGTTGTTATGCTGACTGAGGTCTGGATACTCATCCTCAGGTGAAAGCCTCTTCAGCGTCAGCTTGGCCATATTGTCACAACTAAACAAACACATTCTAAAAAGGTGAGCAGAGGCACCGGCTACACTGACCAGGGTCATCTGAATACTCTGAAAAACACTTCAGATGTTACAATTAAATACACACTGCAAACTGTAGGTGACATAAAACAGTTAAAGCAGCAGTGGATTATCAGCCGCCCTGCATACATTATGTAACCCTGCTAATCTTTAACGTTTGCTATAAAACTGCGTAATGAGATAATGGTGGCCCATTTAGAGGATGATGACAAGGTTTCTGAATATTTCAGCTCTTCATATGTTTCTAAATGTTGGTCACAGTTTATCCCCTTGGCAAGGTCACAGTACAGAAAGGCGTAAGCACAGAGCCGCTGCGGCCATTAAACGCGATCGCTGAGGCGGAACAGATGGCTGTTCTCGCTGAAAAGCCTCTTTGGTTTTTACCTGGGTTATCAATCCCAGTCTGAATGACATCATCCAGAGTAAATCCGCTGGGCGTCTCTTTGCTCCTCAGATTCTCGTACATGGCAGGAGTCAGGATCTTGGCCATATGATTGTTGTGTTTGCTGAGGTCAGGATACTCCTGATCCGAAGCGTATTTCATCTTCATCGTGTTGTGCGTGTTACCGAAAGGCATGGTTGCTCCCTGGGCGGAGGATGGAAGGAAGAGACGATGAAAAGCAGCTAAATGAAACGGAATGTAGAGCGTGCACAGTCAGCATCGACAGTTTGTACGGAGATTATCGTTCATGTTACATTTTAGCTCAAATGACGATGACATATCCTACAGTGAACACGGTGTCCTGAAGGCGTTTTAGCAGGTGCAGAAATGTGCATCACACAACCCCTATGAAACATATTTTGCATCGTATAATGTAATATTATTGTATTACAGTGACTCTAACAGATTAAATAAATGCTTGCAGTAAAAATACGACATATTCATTGGGCCGATATAATCTCTCTCCACCGCCCAGATATCAATTAATCGGTTAAAATCTCCAATAATCCGCCTGTGTGACGGAATTTCGCGTTTATTTCAATAAAGTGCCTACCTGCTGTCGAATTTGAGGACTAGAACTAATACCAGTGGAGACAAAGATCCCAATTGTTCGAAACGAGGAGCTCACAAACGAACAGTATGCGTCCCAGCAGATCTCCGCTCAGAATGAAGATTTCAGATGGTCATTTATAGGACACCGTCTCTCCTCCCATTGGTGGGTATTTGTAGTCCATTCATTTAATTGGACGCGCTCTGTGTGAAGTAGGAAATCCTTCTTGCATGCACAGATTAAACCCATAATTTATTATTTTGTGCCATGAAGTGTAATTTGCAAAGGAATTATTCTGACCCAGCGTTTATTTTCTATAAAACGAATCACCTGTTATTTCACCATGCTCCAGAAGTACGTGGAACTCTAGGAAATCTTTCGTAAAGAGACGCAATGATTATTTATCTAGATCTAATTCACAGCCATAGTAACAGGTTACATTTCACAAATAAATGTCTTTTACATTCAAATAAATAAAACAGATGATATTAAATATGTGTTTAAAAGATATGTTATATTTTGAGATTGAGCAGTATCAGACAAATGAAATTAAAAACGGATTTTTTCTCTCAAAATAAAATAGGTAAATAAATACACTTGATGAAGATAAATTAATTGTTTCTATATTAATTAAGAGCAATAATAACTAAGAAAGCCTAACAACGTTGGTTGCTCAATGTTGATACGTACATGTTCATAACAATAATCCTGTAATTTAACTGAAACACAATTCTAAATAAAAAACCTTAACTTGCTACCTGTTTTGTTTTTTTACAGTGTGATACTTATATTCGATATATTTAGATATAGTGGTTTATTTTTCACGCTACAACATAAACATGGTTTAATTATTATTTACAAAAGGCACCTTTAGTAAACAAGCTTTTTTTTTGTTGTTGTACCTTTGTGTGTACCTAGCAGGAAAAAATGTGCTGCGTCTGGAGGTAAAAAGTATATTTACAAATCATCTGGATTTCCTCATTAATGTATTTTGTCCGCAAAGTGAATTTACAAAACTTCCGTCATTGCAGCATCCGGTTGTGTCTCGTCAACTTCCTCTGAAAACAACACCACGTGTGTGCAGGGAATGAATGGTTTCTGACAGCCTTTCCACATCCACATTCAAAGTCGTTAAGAGCTAAACCTACCGTTTACTGAGCAACGGTTGTGTTCGTTTAAAACTGCAGAGCACGCGGGTTCTGAAGAAGGTACGTTGAGGGTCCGCCAACGGTTCTGAACGAAGTTAACCGTTAGGTGAGCTAACGTTAGCATGCTAGCTTGTTAGCCAGTTATACCAACGTTTGACTTCAAAGCCACAATTCTGTTAACTTAAAAGTCGTTCACTGTAAATGAGTGCTTACAGATATTCTGCACTGTGACCCTGCTGTATGCTTGAAGCTAGAAACGGTGTTAATTTCTTTAAAAAATGGGAGTTAAAGTTATGTATTTAGCTGCTTTAAAATGGGAACCAATCATTTCATGTTAAGGTACCTAACCCTGCAATAACCACTAACATTTGCGTCCGTTGGGATAACCTATCGCTAAATTAGCTAACGGTTAGCTGAGTTAACGTTACAGAAAAGCTACAAACCCAAAAGCATGCCTCCTTGGTTTACTGAGGCAAAACGAGTCCCTAACTAACCCAAACTAATTAACTGACTTACCCAAACACAAACATCTAAATCAACTTAACCCGAAACAGCCATACGTTACAGAAAAACATATTTAAAGGAAAAAACATTTTCGACACAAACCCTAAGGAACATTAGAACTGTAAGAATATTAATTAATTAATCTCACTTACATCTTCTCCATATTGTTCGACATTTCTTGTCTTTCGTGAAGCAGCCAAAAGTGAATCCCAGCTTCTCTCTCTGAAGTGTAGCTTTGAAATGAAAGAAACGTTATTCTTCAGTTTGAAATAAGCAGTTTTTAAATAAAGTAATAACGGTAAGGGCACGTGATGCTTTTATTTAAAATCAATACAAACAACTGTTACCATGACAACAATAACTGAACTGACTAATGTAAAGTGAATTTGACTGAAGAAAAACAGAAATACATTAGACAGTTTTTTATATCTAATATCATGTCTGTATCATTTGGCATCTCATTTTAAGTTTATTAGTATTTTAGTGCAAAAACAATTACATGGTAAGAAAAAATGAAAGTAAAAAAGCCTATGGTCTAAGTCAAGAACATAGGTAGAAAATACTATATAAAACATGTACAATATATCTGTTCCACAAACAGAGTGACATAACATACATTACGTACTGTCATAACAGAAACTATGTTAATATCAATAACCCTTATTTGAGCTACAAAAACGTAACATTTGTTTTACCCTAAGAATTCACATTTATTTAAATATTGCTGTAGGGTTATTAATACTGTGGTCTTTACTTTTATATCCAAAAACAAAGTTTCCCAGGCATGTATGTTACCCTATATTGCTACTGCAGCTCAACCTGCTATTTTTTACTTTATGATCTCTGTCTTTACAAATATTTAGATTTCATTTTATTTTATCATATTTTATTCTCAAATGGGGCAACTGTTTAGAAATCTAGTTCCCCAGTTGGGATGAATAAAGAGAGTCTGATTCAGATCAATGCTAGTTTTCCTTGTAGACTTTTGAATAAAGCATTTATCTCCTTCTTCCCTTTTGTAGGTACGGTTCTCACCATGAGTTTTGTGGAGTACTCGGATTGCATTCAGGATGGGGATGTCGCCATCGTGTACCTGGGCCATGAATCCATGACGCCAGTGAAGGTGAAACGGGGCGCCCAAACACAGACGCGTTATGGAGTCATTCGCCACTCCACAGACCTGATCGGTCAGCGGTACGGGTCAAAGGTCACCTGCAGCAAAGGTGGCTGGGTGTACGTGCTTCACCCCACACCTGAGCTGTGGACCGTCAACCTGCCGCACCGCACACAGATTCTCTACACCACCGACATCGCCACCATCACCATGATGCTGGAGCTGAAGCCGGGGAGTGTGGTCTGCGAGTCAGGTGAGGGTTACTGAACATTAAAAACAGCCATATTGGAAAATACCTCTTCAGTAAGGATTAAGTCTAGAAAAATGATCAAATAGTTGAGTAATGCGAGAACCTGGCCTCATCTAAGGTGAATGGTTTTAACTCGCAATTGTTTTTATGTGTTTACTCGAAAAGCAAGTGTTCGATGCTTTCACCGAATTGACATTACACGTAAAAATTATTACAAGATAGTCCACAATGACCGGCCATTTTTTTTTTTTTAAGAGAACAAGATGCCCAAATGGCAAACAGCCACAAATAATGCGTGTCTCTCAATAGTAAAACAATTGTTAAGTTAGATTACTGATCCAGAAACAAATGATGGAAAATAACAGAAATAATATAGTATGTTTCTTATTCAAAAACGTTATTAGAATCAGATAAAAAAAATAACAATAAAAATGATCAAATATTATTTACATTTGAACAAAAAACTGTGTTAATGTTAGAATTAAGCTTTGGTCTATATATTTGGGTTTAGTTGCCTTGTATACCATTCTGATAACATCATCTAAATAAAGAAATAACGTTTTTAATACAGCTTTTATTATGTTGTGCTATTTTTCATACGTGAAGCATCTGTATTCTTCTACACCCCTTCTTCCATATGGAGAATGTGTTATTTAGCTTTACTGCAGGCTTTATTTAATTATATTAAAGCCTTAAATCTGTGCCACTGCAGCTTTAAGAAGCGCCTGGTTTTATTCTAGCTGTTCACACCTTTTTGAGTCTGATGTTTTTTTCCACAGAGCCTCAGCTGTTGAAATTGCACATCATGTGATGGCTCACAGATGTGCCTAACACAATTATGTAATACAATATTTGTTGACATTGTCGCCTTTTGTCTCGCCTTCAGCTCCTTGGTCTATTTCCATTTCCTTCTTATTTTTTTACAATGCTATCACTCTGTGTGCTGGTGTGTTTTTCGGCCTAGCTGCAGTCTCATCCAGTCCAAGGGCGGGGGATGGGCGAGGATGTTAATAAGTGCGGTGGTGCAGTGCTCCATCATGTTTTAGTTCTGGCAGCCCTGCGCATGTCACTTCATTGATTGTACTTTGAGGAAACAGTGTGTGTTTGTGTGCGTGGTTGGTCAGGTCTCTTGGGCGATGAATGAGCTCAAACAGAAATCTGTTAAGTCAGCAACAGGGCTGCACTATCTGCATTGGTATCACGTTACTCTCAACCTTTTTTTTAATGCATATTTAACACTGGCATTATATTAAAACCATGACTTTGCATGTCTTATCGCATTTTAATTCAGACGAGTCATGGTTTGAATATCAGGTAAAAGACCCGGTTTATTAAATACTGAATGCAGCATTTTATTAGCTGCACACTTGAGTATTGTTATAAGTCGATGAGGCGCTAATCAGCATTTTATACGACACAGTGGTGACTCATAATGTTCAGGCTGAAAGTCTTTAAGCAGGACGTGCTCTCCTGTGGAGGACTTTCTGTCAGGGAGCTGTATAAACATGCAGCGATTAGAGGTGATACATTTGTCGGTGGTTCTGCCTACAAGACGAGCATTTCCTGAAGGAGCATTCAGTCATGTAGAGGAGTCACCTTGGCAGAGTGTACTCATTGTAAGTCAAGGGCTTGTCGAGTCATTGTATTAAAGAGGACATATTATGCTGCTTTTTCATATTAGTATTTTGTCCCTCTTCTGGGACATGTCTCCATCGTTAATGTTCAAAAAGCTCTTTAATTTTCTCATACTGCCTGTGCTGCAGCACCTCTTTTCACCCTCTGTCTGAAACCAGAGCCCAGTCTGCTCTGATTGGTTAGCTGGCCGGCTCTTTTGTGATTGGTCTACCGCTTAGAGATGTCCTGCCCCTTAGCCTATCACATAGTGTGTTAGAACCCTAGCCAATCGCAGCGCGAGTGTTTCAAAGTGATGTCACTATGTTACTGAAGTAAACAAAGGAATTCAATCCAAGCGTTTCAGGCAGGGGGGGGGGGGGTGGGAGAGAAACTCCCTTTGGATTGAACATAGGGGTTTTGGCCTTTGCAGACCATTTCATTGCACAAAAACCTATATAACACATAACAGGAAAGAGGAAACCCTAAAAGCATAGTAGGGCCTTTTTAAAATGCACCGTACAAATACATGCACATTCATCACGGTTATTTCATAGCCGAAAACAGACACACACAAATTGCCATAAGACTCAAACATTAAGGGGTTTACTGAAGTATACAGAGACAGAAGTGGGTTAATGATTGGGGAACTTTACTCTCTACTTTCACTTTCTAAATTTGCCTGTAGAGACTTTGAGTTCTTTGACCTCAGGCTTGGTTTTTGCGTCTCGTCTAGAAAACACCACGATAGTATCAGTCCCCCTCCCCCACAACCGCCACCATCTTCTTCTTCTTCTCCTCCTTCTCCCTCGTACAGTAGCTTCCCACAGACTTGACGTCTTGTTCTGTGAGCAGATTAGAAATGCTGATATGAGTCACGGGTTGCCATGACCCTTTGCATCAAAGCAAATCTCTGTTTTTTGTGCAGAAAAACAAAAGTCTACTTTTCAGTACACTTAAAACAAAAGAGTTTAGCGTGTGTGTATTCTTGATGAAGAGCTGACAACCGCATTAACCACCAGCACTTTCAGCTGACACACGTCTAAGGCGGGGGTCAAACAAAGTAACATTTCCTCTTCATGACAACCAGAAACACACGTGGTTACTTACCACTCTCCATTTCATGAACCGAATGCAGATAGCACGACAAGACAATACTGATGCAAGATAGAGCTGCAGGTTGCTAAAAGTGTCTTATTGAGAGAGGTTGTCAGGGACATACAACAGGGAAACTCTTCTAATCAGTGTGTAGTTTGCTTTAAACCCCTAAACCCTAACCCAAAAGTTATTGTATATCTTAAAAAGCCAACTCTGGTACAAAAGTTTAAAGCATGTGCTCTATAAACACATTTCAATAGTATGTACACTTCTCTGACATGATTTTACACAAAACTGCTAAGTGTATTTCTGCTGGACTTGGCAATGTGCTTGGATGTCAAATGAAGCTGTCAGCAGGCTGGCATGAAGCCTGAGGTCCAGAGTCTGGTTCTGGTTGATCGTCTGTTTAATGCAGATCGAGTTCAGATTGGTTTTGAGATCTGGGCTCGCCCATCAAGTCTGCTGGAGACACACAGCCTCTTCCTCTCAACAGTAAACTGTATTAGCAGAAGCACAATGTGAGGCTGCAGTTTGTAGTGCAGTTGTGTTAAACAGCCTTTTAAATGTATCATGTTCCTGTAGTGCCACATATGGATGAAATGGCTTAACATGTTTGCACTGAGATTGAATGCTGCAGGAGTTATTAGTGCTGAAACGTAACAGCAAAAAACTGCTTTTTGTATATTAAATAGTTTAAATGTGACGATTAAAAACCAACCTCTCTATAGGTTTTTCTTAATAAATGTAGAAAATGCATGATGCATTTGAGAACTACGGCAGTTCGTCAAATGGACCACACTAACTCTTAATGCATTTGGCATTTAAGTTAGAGAAAAATATACAGTGTATATATTGAATTTGTTTGGGACTTATCCATTGATTTAATTTACCACAAATGGATTACATTTGCAGTAAAAGTGAAGAAAAAGTCTACAATGTTTCCACCAGATTCCATGAAAAGGCTTTCACGTGGATTTTGAAAAATGTGAAAGATAACACGTTCTTGGAGGTAATAATGCTATCCACGTACATCGGAAAAAACACAACATCAGAAGTTCAGTGATGCAGACCTTGAAACAGTCCACAAATCAGATTCATGTATCGAATTGCATCATATACAATACATTTTTGAAGGACACAACATAAAGTCGAGTCAGGGCAGACAATCAGCACAGTTAGTCCTTCATGTGAATGATAACACATCGTTTAAACCACCAATGATGTAATTCAAACCAAAAGTCTTATCTGAGAGATACAAATGCTCTCTCTGCTGCCGTGGTTTTGTAACGTACTGTACAGCTGCTTCCGTTATTATCTGCATATCTATATCTGCGTGACCCAATTCCTTCGCTTTACTACATCCATCCACAGTCAATGCATTTATCCATGTTTCCATCCGGATTAGAAGTGTGAGGTTTTAGCATTTCGAAGTGCTGCTGTGGGGTAAACATTGCCCTCTTTGTCGCCAGCCGAACAAAGGCAGCGGTGATGTAATGCCAGGAGAAAGAAAGAAGGGGGGGGGGTTGTCTGCTGTGCCCTCAGTGCTTCAATCTTCCCCTCTGCTTTAACTGCAGCACACATAGTCGGTCTTGTTACCTCTAGTACAATCCCATTTTATTGTATTTAATGCACAAGGAGGACTGTGAATTATTCTCTTGGTTAATTGCGTTATAAAATGTACATGTTTTTCCCTCTAGCGCTTCAATCTTCTAGCTTGTTTGTCAAACACTACAGAGCCCAATTTAATTTACTGTTCAAGAAGACAAATATATTCACATTTCAGAGGCTGGAGCCACAGAGTTAAATATTTGATCTTAACCAATGATTTAAAATGATTCATAGATTATGAAATCCCTTCTCAGCTCAGGAAGCACAATATTTGTTATAGGTTAAATATGTGTTAAAATAGAATTTTGAATGAAGTATTGTGAAGCTACAGAGATATATTGTTGATTACATTTACTATGTTTGACTTAATTGTGTTATTCTACACGTGAACAATGGCTGATAATGTCTTCTATAACAACAATGTTGTTCCTATTTGTGATCATTAATGCACTTGTATGGATGTATCTATCTACATCACTTCAGCAACCTCCCGCATGTTAGCAAGATGGCTGCACAAAGAGGTTACACTCAGAAATGTAGCATGCACTTATCAGCAGAGTGGAGAGGAGCAGTGGGAAAGTGTGCATGTGTCTTTGTGTGCATGTGTGTGTTGCAGGAACAGCTGTGAGCTCATTGTGTAGACAGTCTCAGAACAGAAGGAAGCTCTGAGCGTCATTTCTGAGACAAAACAAGATGTACGTTTGAGGTTTTTCTGAGATCTCACAGCGTTGCGTTTGTATCTGAGCAGAGTTGCAACAGGTGCAACTCTTTCCATGTGGTTTGAAGACCAGATTTATAGTGATGGGAGCTAAATGTGACGGTGCAGTGTGTTCATTTTCACAGTTTAGATGCGACAAAATGCCCAAAAGACATCCACAAATGATGCATGTGTCACTGGTGCTTTATTTGTCCTGATGAAGAACATGCTTGTAGCAGCGATGTGGTGGATGGTATAATCTCAAATGTGTTCAAATGAAATGTTGCTGCAGCTGGAGAACTGGGTCATGTGTAATACAGCTTTGATCGTAACCCTTTGATAGCCACATTCAGAATGGTCCTAGAAAACACCTGAAACAAAATCAGCTGCTCTGTTTTTGTTTTTTTTAAATTGGACACAACCCATAATGTTCATATTTTTTTTTGCCCTCCCCTATTCTAATATTCTCCCTTGATATTATTTGAATGATTCAAAGGCAGTATTTTAATGTTTAATTGGCAGTGTTTGTTTATACATGTCAGTAATTGTTATTATTTTAAGATTAGGATAACATACAGATGGATATAAATCATTTTAGAGCCGTAACTAACAGTTAGTTCTCCTTATAAACCAAACTGTTAAATATTTTCGCAATTAATTGGGTTAGAAAATGGTTGTTTTCCCCAGTCCTCTCAATCGTCCTGCTTTTCTTCGACAAACGGTACAAAGCCCAAAGATTTATGATTTTAATATCAAAGAAGAAAATAATAACGTCTTAAAAGCTGGCGCCTCAGAGTTTAAATAATGTATGTCAGCAAACAATTTCAAATAAGTACATTTATAAAAAATGGACAGTGGCCATTAATGTTGCTGTAAATGCACCAGAGTTTTTAGCCCTTTGTTTTGAATTGTTTTAAATCAAAGTGTATCAGAGTCTCCCCCGTCTTCATCCTTCCTGTTTGTGTTTGTGTTTCAGGGACGGGCAGCGGCTCCCTCTCCCACGCCATCCTGAGAACCATCGCCCCCACAGGACACCTGCACACCGTGGAATTCCACCAGCAGCGATCGGAGAAGGTGTTGGAGGAGTTCAAGGAGCACCGCGTGGATCACCTGGTCACCGTCAGGAACCAGGACGCGTGCAAAGACGGGTTCGGAGTGACGGGGGTGGCGGACGCCGTCTTCCTGGACATCCCCAGCCCCTGGGAGGCCGTGAGACACGCCAAGGCTGCGATGAAGAAACACGGTAAGGCTCGTACACTGCATGTGTCCTTTATACGAGTACTCAAACAATGGAGTCTTTCAAGATCAAACTGACTTCCTCCTTTTCCTGAGTTTGTGTTTATACCAAGCAAGGAACGTGTTTCTTGGAGCAGAGAAAACCCCAATTTACAAACAAATTAAACATAACATTTTTGATTTAAATGGTATATAAATTCTTCTATATGAATAAATAATGACTTGCAATCTGTAAAACTGCATACTCTTCACCTTTTCACATTTTGTAAAGGAATTTAATATACATTTCGTTTTATGTATTTGCCCCAATATCTTAAATTACACATTTGTCTAAGGGGGCTTTTCATCCAGTACGGCAAACCACTCCCTCTGTCCTTAGACCCTTGCAGCGTACAAGGATACACTCCCAAAAAGACACCCATCATCTAAAGTGGGGGAAACAATGAAGAGGCCGCAGGGAGAGCAACGTCATTCTCTATTGATGGATTAAATAAAAACATCCTCATTGGCTTCTTTTATTAACAATTTAAGGTCATTGGTCAGTTTCACAATTGGCTTGAGAAGCTGATGATGGTAAAAAACCCACCTTCATGATAATATTTTCCCAGTGTGAACCAGGCTTGGATTTTCGTCATTTTAGGGGCAAGGCCATTTGGCCTTTGGTGTCACACGTTTTTTCAGGGCGGAAAGGCCACATGCCAGGGCACAAAGGCCATTGAGGGAAAAATTAGGATTTGGAGCTTAAAAATAAATAACTTTTTAATGACAAAAAACAAATCATTTTTTTAATATCAATAATCGTATCATCATATAGGCCTATGCCTCCTTAGTATTAACGTATATAAAATGAAATACTTTACTTTGAATAATTAGTGTTTGGTATGTTTTCCATCTACTACTACTCCCATTCACAAATCCGAAAATGAAATCTAAAAATCAAAAATTCTATTAATATGTAACAAATATTCAATTTCAGAGCAGAAGAAACAGCCTTCAAGGGTCAAACTCTGCACATACATCATTCTGCAGTGCACAGTGAAGCTCCAACATCCAACTGTATGAACAAGCAATACTTTGAAATGCAAAAGTGTGTGTGTGTGTGTGTGCCTGCGTGCGTGCGTCTCTTTAATCAACTCCTCACAGCTCCTCATATCTGCTCAGAAACTGGACAAAAGTTAAAGATGTATAAACCACAGACTGTCTGTGTCATGACGAATACAGTCGCTGCTTTAATTCTGTCTTTAGGACGTTGTTGTGAGTTTGGACGGAGCAGCTACAACGTTTAGCCGGATCGATCCAATCTCCATTCACAAAACACGCATTTTAAAAGGTTTTTCGCATGCTGTCTTGTCTGCACACTTGTCAAAGCATTAAAGCATGGTTTTTACTAATCGTTATCAGTATTTAGTTACTTCGGCATCATTTTGAAACGTGTATTACAATGAAATCACGGTAAAATAGGTTAATTTGGTCGTAGTTGGTTTCCACCACAGTATTTACATGGATATAAGCCCCGCTCCAGCGCGTCCTCTTTGAATGACAGGAGTAAACACAGCTGACAGCCGCGGTGAAACTCCAGCGGTTAGAGCGATGCGAGTATTCGCATCGCGTCCGTTGTGAACGCAGCATAATGCAGTTCAGAAACCCCTGTTCTGACGCTTTTAAAGCAACTTTTAACAGTACGAGGGGCCCAAAGGCCATGGTGGCCGTAGGATGTACAATTATTTGTGGGGCATAACGGCCAGACCGAGGGGCTACGACGGCCATGGCCGTCATGGCCGCCGTGAAAATCCCACCCTGGTGTGAACTAAAACAACAACAACGTGCATGCCAAGAACCTTTGCCAATAGGCGCATTCACACTGCGGTACTTTTCCCACAAAGGTTCATGTGAACTCTTTAGTTCGCATGAACTAAGTACAGATCGCGTTCACACTGGAAAAAGTCCCTGGGGGTGGATTAGGCAAATGAAGCCGCTGACGTCACTTCTTCTTCTTCTGCTTTGGGTTTACTGGCAGTCCGCAAACCACTTCACGGCGTATACTGCCGCCCAAAGTCCCCGGCCGGAAGTCCCCGGAGTTAGGGACTGGCTTCAGTAGAAGCTGCTGGGAGTCCCAGCAGCTTCTACTGAAGCCTTCCGAGTAAATCGCCAGAACGCCGACACCTCCTCATCTCCACCGCTCCCATGTTTTATTTTGTGTTGCCATAAATTAGTCTCTCTGCGTTTCTGCGCTGGGCTAATGCTAATAATGCTAATGCGAGGATAATAAAATGGCGGCTTCACAAAACTTTTTGGGAGTTTTACGGGGCGTGGTTTGCAATCCGCCCAGCCAATCAGAAATATAGCTCTTTTCTCACAAGAGAGCCGTACGAAAGTCCCTGCTCTCTAGCAGGGACTTTCGAGGGGGTAAAAAGGTTCACATGAACTAATTTTAGTACCGGCTCTTTTTGGTGTGAACGCGATAAAAGAGTTCACATGAACTAAGTTCACATGAACTAAGTTCACATGAACCTTTGTGGGAAAAGTACCGCAGTGTGAATGCGCCTATTGACAGTGGAAGAAACAACTTTGATGTCTCGAAGGGACTTATTGCCTTTTGCCCTACTGCAGTGTGATTTGATGTTTGCCAAAAACTGATGTCATCATAGGTGTGTATTTGTCAGACGTTAGTATTTATTTAGATAGTTACTCTGCTCATAACTTTCGGTCCACCCAGGGATGTTATCAGCCCAAACTCTAGTAAAAATAATTTAACATGGAGTATTTTTTATGAGGACGTTTAGCTCTGGCAGTGGCTCAGTCAGTAGGGGCTTGGACTGTGAGCCGTAGGGTCGCCGGTTCAAGTCCCCGGCCAGACCTAAATATGGAGTGTGGACTTCTACTTGGAGAGGTCCCAGTTCACCTCCTGCCCTGCCGTGGTGCCCTTGAGCAAGCCTTCCCCCCTCACTCCCATTGCTCCCCGGGCGCTGTACAATAGCTGCCCACTGCTTCTAGTACTAGACTCCTGGTACTAGGACGGGATAAAAACAGAATTTTTTTCGCTGTGTGCTCTGCATGTGATTAAAGAGGGTTTCATCCCTCCCAATTGTTCTTCTTCTTCTAATCAGCAAATGTTTTGATTCTTTAACTTTACCTGAAAAATTACCTAAGTCTGTTTGTAAAAGTACCTCAATGTCAGTCAGAGTTATTGTCTTTTAATACTTTTTCGGAGATGATGGCAAAGCCACGAACATTCTTTCAGGGTTCGTTGATTAAAAGACATGAAAGTTGCAGGACAACAAGGTAGAAGTGCATATCCAGCTTATGCCATACCAACTCACCAAGCCCTCCCAATTATTGTAATATATAATTTGTTATCTGGTTTTGCATCTTTACAAAGTATTTGATGTCCCACCATATTTCCACACTCAAAATGCCACTATATTTATATATTCAGAGCGTTTTCCAGGAACCATCACCCGACTTTTCTGTGACTCGTCCTGACACAGCAGGAACATGACTGGGCACATTTCAAAAATACCAGCCAGTGACTTTATTTCCCCCGCGGCCGCGTCGACCATCGATCAGAGCCAACACAGCTCTTATTAACTTTGTCCTTGTGTGTGTGTGTGTGTGTGTGTGTGTGTCTTTTGTGTGTTGGTGTTTGTTCTCAGTCACGGAACGAACTCATGTTAGTGTTTCTGTGGCAACCAGAAGCTGCAGCATGTCTGGGCAGGTTAATGAGGTGGTCAGAAGGAAATCCAAAGTTGATATACTATAGGTTCAACAAATAACCAGTTAATGATTCTCGCAATCGTTTTTTAAGGGTCAATAAACCAAGTATGTTCAGTTTTTCTTTTTAAATCAGGATGAAAAATGCAAAAATAATGACTAAAGAAGGTCCAGTTGTGTATAGTATACAGAGTACATTCAAAAAGGATATCACAAGATTTGCAAAAATGTGCGTTAATGCTATGCATCTTGTGTTTTAACTTGTCTTTATTGCTTGTTAAGGAAAAACTTTTCCCGACACCAACGTTTTCCCAGATTATTAATAGATTTGTCATCCATATACCCTACTGGATGAATATATATATATTTTGTTGTTGTCAATATTAGCGATGGCTTTTTGTGATGTGCTACCATGTCTTAATGAATACAAATAGTGCATGCTGACTTTTTTAGACAGAAAGTTCGGGACGGTTAAGATGCCCCGGATCAGTGAATCATGATTGCATGCTCATGTTCCTGAGACAAATAAATGCAACATGATTTTAAACGGTAAGCCTCAATATGAAGAGGAATGCCGCTCTCCCTCCTCCTCTCGGAATCCCTTTTATGGTGCCACTGCTACATATTCCTTTCATGAGCTGTTGACCCTCACATGCACACACACACACACGCGCGCACACACACAGATACAGATAAATAGAGTGCAGCCATTGTCGAAGCAGTCCCATGACCATACAGGGTTATGCTGCAGGGAGAGAGAGCTGGTGAATGTGGCTCCATAAGGACACACTTGGTTTACTTTCTCACTGGATGTTTTCTCTGGAGAACCAGGAGCATGTTGAGCACCAATGCCCCCAAAAACCATTAAACAGAAACACCAAAATGAAGCAAAAGCTCTGAGGTGTTGAGCACTACCTGACAGGCAGCTACTCAGTGTATTAGCAGATTAGCTGTTTGCAGAGTGGCAACGACAAGTGGCAAGACGTATCACCCGCAGCCCGAATTCATTCGTACATTTTTCTGCACAAACAGATTTGCACTCAGGCTCAAGGAAAAAAAAGTAGTTGGCTGCAGTGGAGAGCATGTAAGAGCTGTAACTCTAAGATGTTTTGACCTGCAGCCCTGCCTGGATCCTGACTAACCCTCCCTCCCTGCTCGCTCTAAGACTCTTTTATTAGGAAACTATGAAGTAAACATGTCCCCGTGAACTCAAACACTCAACAACCTGATGAGGGAATCATAGGTTTCACTCATGTATAGAATCTATTCATGCATGTAAGGTTGATATTTAGGGTTATTAATACCCGCCCTTGTATAATCATCTACCAGACCCCTCCCTGTGTGTTCAGTTGTTAAGAGAGGTGTGTTTATGGCGGTCTCATGGGGAAATGCTGCTCCTGTTAGATAAAGGAACGTCTGCTATCTACAACAACCCCAAATAGTAGTGTTTGTCGGACACAATGGACCCTTCAACGAGGCTGCCGTCTGCAGACGTGTTCTTTATTTCAGTCACTAACTCAGCATGGGGGTTTTTGGAATATGAAGTTTCCCATTATTTCAGTTTCTCTCGCATTATTCCTGCAGATTATTCCCTTCCAAAGTGTGAGCTAAGCTTTAATGAGCAGAAGGAAACGGACACAGTCGTGGCGTGGAAGCAGTAGAAAAGCAGGATTTGAATACTAATACTGTCTTGGTCGTGCATTGAATACAGAGCAGGATTTCTTTAAGGACTACTTTTAACGTGCACTTGAAAATATGCTAAATGCGTTTGAAATCAAATGTTTGTGTTTATACCACAAATTTAAAAAATGTTGTCAAACCATATACAACCAACAATCATGCAAAAACTTTTAGTGATCAACATACAGAGAATAATGAGCTGAATCATGGACTTTGTTTACGTGAGTTTAAGCTCTTTATTTATCTGTCTGTCTGCAAAAGTTCTGTCCTGGCTCATTCCCAAAGTCTCATAGTGCTGATTTATTAGGAAAGAAAACCTGTAACTACTCGGCAGCAAATAGCTGAAAGGCAGGAACTAGGGTAGAATTGTGAGTCCATATTATCCACTTAAAAAATATGTAATTTCAATAGTTTTGGACTATTATATATATATATATATGTGTGTACAAAAAATGAACTAAAAGATGTTATAAATGAACAACACTGAAAACAGCTCAAAGATAAAACTAAAGAAGTCCACTGGAGACAAACCAGTACCGTTAGATCTGGGAGAAGTTGTTTTATTTATTTTGATGCTCTCCATACGGTTTTATATTCATTCGGCTTAGGTTGTGCTTATAAGGCCTTATTATCAGGGGTGCACATAACTTTTTTGCCCTGGTTCTCAAAGGAGCACCTGGAGATGTTGCTTGGTGCTCATCCTTAAAATGAAATAAACCGTAACTTTTGAGGGGTCTTGACTTTATTTGCCAGACATACGGCACTGAACACACATGCAGAGGTGAACACAGAACACACATGCAGAGGTGAACACAGAACACACATGCAGAGGTGAACACAAGACAACATTAGCACGAGCAGTAATCCTACAAGCTGTCATCACTCCTCCTGACTGTTCTCCTCACTGTCTTCCTCTCTGTCAGACATGGTAGCTGATGATGTAGGCCTACTTCTTTCTCTCTGGTTGAGTCTGCGATTAGCTGCTTGCATCCACAAGTCAACAGCTGGGTTTGGGTCGAAAGTCTCTGTTGTCATCTTAGACAAGTGGATGTAATCAAATAAGTATGTGAACATAACCAATAGCCTACCATAGCCAATAACAAATTAATGTAACTTATTTTATTTGTGTTGTTCATTCATATCTTATTTTACCTTAACATTTATTTATTTATGCATTTTTTTTTAATCTCTCCAGTTTTAAAGGATATTTTTGGTTACTGTCCTATAGTATACATTGGAATGATTTAAAACCTGTTTATCCCAATAATTATAAAGGAGTGCCTTGGAAATATGTGTTTACATAAATTGTGACCAAACCGTTTGAACTTAAACTAAGAGTCCTTTACCTCACTGAGCTGTAGTATCAGCCTCTCAGTCTGACTGGAGAGGACTCTCCCTCCACATTATTGTAGAAACATCTTCTTCTTATCTCCGTTAGAGCAGCTAGCACGGCACCAGATTCTAATAACAACAGCGCTGGTACCACTCTCCCTCGCTCACTCGCATTTTGGCTGTGAGCTGCGGGCACCAGATAAGCCAACATCCCCCATTTTCATCACTTACAGCGCCCATCGTACAGGGCAAATGAAAGGTGGAACCGGGGTGAAAAGGGTGTTACATTTACTTAATTGTGAATATTGTTATATCAAGGCCGAAAATTAGGATGAGCCCCAACGGTCAAAATGTTTTTTTTCCCTCCCAGAACTGCCAGAGCAGCACCTCCCCAGATCTGGCGCCCTAGGCGAACATCTAGCCAGTGCTACGGGCCGACCCTGAGTTCATATCATGGTTCATACATGTATGCAACTCGCAAATATCTTTCTCTCTCTCTCATCTCTCCTCTCTCCTCTCTTTTCTCTTTTCTCTTCTCTCTCTCCTTCTCAATGTTGGTACGCAAATGCGCTTTGTTTCAAATGACCCGGTGCTCTTTTTTTGGCGGAGGTGCGCATGCGCACCTGCGCACCAGTTATGTGCAGCCCTGCTTATAATGGTACAGAGAAATTACCAGATATACTGCTCAGGGGCTGGCGGAGAACAAAACGTGCAAAAAGAGAGGGAATATTGTACTTGTATTTATAACATAACAACACACCTAATAAATGACCATGTTGATTTGTAACTGGATGTGTAAATAAGTCCACAATATCAACCTAAAAGTTGATGATATGTTAGTTTCCACTAGTACTAAGGTTAGATCATGCAGGTTAAGGACAACCATTTTATTATTCATGCAAATTCCCTTCTTGCTGATATTTTGATGATTCTATCAATGAGCTGCCGTTAAAAAAGGAGAATTACACCAAACAAATGAAAAGTAACAAAACATAGTTGCAATGAGAAGAACTAATAAATAGTGCTGAGCAAGGTAAACTAAACATCTCAGTCTGCAGAAAACACAACATTATTTCTCAGCGCTTTATATTAAGAGTGTGCGATGTATATAAAATCATTGTGTTTCGTTAAAGCCTCCCTTCTCCAGCTGCACGGTTCAGAGTCACATTCTTCGCTCTTCAGGTCAGCCGGCGAAAGTGTCCTTGGCTTATTGCTCGTACCTCCTGCTGCGAAATCTCTGCGGGGTTTCATTTAGAGACGAAAGGCCTCCTCAAAGAAGTGATCTGAGTTTATTACAGCGGCGGTTCATCCCCTGATGATCCACAAACTGCATCCCGTCAGGTCTCAGGCCAGTCTGTTTTGAAATGATCTTTCGTATATAAGATAAACACATAATAGTAGTAGTATCACAAGTTTCCCTGGAGTAGACTGGATGTCTCCTGAGTCCATGTTGAGTTTAAACATCTCGTTTAGATTATTTATCTTGTCCATGGTTGTTTTTAAGCTTAATTCTTACAAGCAAACCAATGACAACTCCTTCTGCATCTTCCTTCTTGAGATGTTTAACTCCTGCTTTTATTTTTGCACAATAAAGGATGCAAAGATGGTAAAAAGTGTCATATTTTTGAGTTTTTTTTTGCGTAAAGCATTTGTTTAATCCCACAAAATCTCACTAAGAGAATAAGGCGTGTTTTAAGAGCGCCACAGAGAGTTATTTACAACTGTTGGCAATTCCTGTTTCTATGACAGTCTCTGTTCCTGGGTTACATCAGTCTGGTTTTTGTGGACAACCAGGAGACCGAAAGTTAGTGCTTCTGGTTTTTGTACGTTTTGAAAGCAGATGATTTTAAAGTAAACATCGCAGGTCAGTATGTTTATCATCAGCTGAAGAAATCATTTCCTTCAGGCAGTAGAAATGTTCTTGGTATTTTCACAGATTTCTCACACTAAAAGATACCTGCCAAAAATACCAGACATGGTTTGTAACTGTGAAGTGCCACCAACCTATTTGTTCTCGGTGGCCTTGACCCGAAAAGGTGGAGAACAAGTTGACCGGTTGTTTTGCCAATTTGCTTCCATGAAGAAACGCTACCAGCAGCTCATTGGGTCTATTCTTCTAAATAAAAAAAAACACCCCTTTCTTGTTTGAGTCTTATTCCCTCTTCTTTTTTTTTTACCTTCTCGATTCATCTGGATTTATTTACTGTTGTTAACTAAATCTGAAATGCATGCTCTCTTTTGCTCCAATTGTATACCTCCAATAGTTAGACAGAGTTTCAGTGGTGATAAAACTGACCTTTAGTCTCTAGTGAGGCTTAACATTTGCATGGAAAAGAAGAGTTTGTGCACAAAAGAAGGTAAAGAAGACGTATTTGTCACTGATCTTCTGATTAATTTTTAAGCAACAAGCTGTTAAACACCTGTCCTCTCTCTCTTCTCTGCAGGAGGCCGGGTGTGTTCGTTCTCTCCGTGCATCGAGCAGGTTCAGAAGACGTGCGAGGCGTTTTCCGATCAAGGTTTCGAGGACATCAACTCCATAGAGGTCCTGCTGAGGGTCCACGACGTGCGGACCGTCTACTTGCCGCTGCCGGACTTCGGCCCGGACCCCTCTGCTCAGATTCAGCCTGACTCCACCATAACACCGCCTCAAAACCACGCCTCCATCGCCGTTAAGACCACCATCCCGCCCAGAGATGTACAAGGGCACACAGGGTACCTCACCTTCGCTACCAAGCCCAGGACCTAATTATAATTTATTTACACCACAAGTACACAGGATGTATTTTATAATCTGGTCGCTGTGCTTCGCTCTAATGTGCTTTCATGTACATTAATGAGGCGGTGATAATCCAGCGGAGGCACCAGGCTCCTCCAGGTCCGGCTGGCACTGCAGCAGCGAGAGGATTTACACTTTGTGTTACATCATTTCATCCTCCCGTCACTTGGCACCAGGTTTGTTGCTTGCATCAAGCACGAGTGAATCCATTTCCTTTGAGAAGAGTGGACTACACTTCATGTCTTCCCTTTTTATAAAACATTTCATTTTACATTTGTTGGGGGACAACATTTTCTTTCTCCATTTTGTGCACTTTTGTATTCAAGTAAATACAATAAATGTATAAAAAGATTCTCGTTTTCCTTTGTATTATTGCATCAAAAGCAGTAAAAATAATTTAAAGGTCACCTATCATGCTATTTTTAGGCAATAGCATAGATCTCAAATGTATAAAAAACATGTCTATGAAGTGTTTTGCTCAAAAGACCAAACGGATCACCCATTCTAGCCATGTCTCATATCCCCCTATTTCACTTCCTGTTTCGAAAGTGCTGATTTGGGGTATAAAGCTTTAAAAAAATAAAAAAAGGAGGGGGCTGAGCTCATGCGGGACCCGGCAGCTACTGTCTAAACTAAATACTGTGGTGATGAAACGCCATATCAAGGATTCTCTCTCAAACAGTATGGAGCTCAAAGGCTTTCTCTCTTGCCGGTTATACCACAAGGTGAGTTCCTTTTTATTTCCTGCTTCTTCACACACATGCTCTCCAGTACAGGTTAGCTCTGAGTGTTAGCGATGCTAATGTAAACACAGACCATATTACGTCCAAAACAGTCGGGCATTGTTTCTGATAGCAATGTTTCTGATAGGGCCGTGGGTGTAAAGCCAGCCTACATTTCCGATATTACATCATATCGGACGCAAATCTGGATCAGCTCCGTTGTACCCCCGTTTTTAGAGATTTGGGTACGGAGGAAAAGAGAGAGGGTTTTATTTTCTGACGCTGCGTGAGTTCCCCGACACACCGGGGACACATCTTTATGTATAAAAGACATCAAAAAGTGCATTTTGCATGATAGGTCCCCTTTAAGCCAGAGGTGAAATCACTATACCAGCTGATGATGTGTTGAAGTGCTTAAGAGCAAGACATAAAGCAGCCACAAGATCAATCAGAAATAAAAGAAGAAAAAAGGCTCCATGACCTAAAACTTTATTTTTCAAGAATACTCAGAGAAAATCCCCAAAATGAGCAAGAAAACAACAGTTAAGCGCCAAATACAGACACTATAAACTGGCACACATAACATTCAGACGCACATAAATACCAAAAATGTAGAAACACAAGATATCTTATCCAACTTGAATCCAACTACAGAGACAATTTAAAGTCTTTGAAACACTTTTATTTTATTAAACCTTTTTTTTTTTTTTACACTTTGACGTGTTTGATGTTCCTTGCAAGTGTCTCCCTTCTCTGAATCCCAAACAAGGCAGCAACATGTGTTCAGTGACACGGGAGCTTCTTCTTTTCACACCTTCCAGATTACTAAAACCAAAACTAACCGACTGCACTGACTCATCGTGAGCTTTTCCATTTCCCCTCTCTTCGATTTAAAAAAAGAGATCCAGTGCACGGGAAATCATCACTGCTTTATTCAGTTTCAGATTTATGGGGTCTCCTTCATCTTTCTTTGCTAAGCTTCCCCGGTTTTTATCAGTGTTTAACATTTCATTTTGCAATTCTTTTTATCTGATCATATCTTATTAAATCTGTTTTTAATTTCTCCAACCTGACTGCTGCTGCTGTTATTAGTCTAAACCTCCTGCTGCATTCAGAGTCTGTCGGGACATTAGGGGCCTGTTAACGGTTTAATCTGTGGGGCTTACCGCGGGTTATAAAAAGCTCTGGGGTTGTTTCAGTCTGCTGTGTTGGACAGGTTGTTGTTTCGGAGTGTGTGTGTGTGAGGAAGAGCAGCTTCAACTTCTGTACACAAAAACAATCACAGCCTCTTTGTATGTTCAAAATATCACTTATCTACTTGGTAGAAGTTGCAAAATCAACTAGAGATTTTGACCGCCGAAAATGTCCTTTCACTTGAAGTAGGATTGGCAATATATCATGATTTGAGACTATACTTCATCTTACATATTGTAATATTGCCATAAAGTGCCTTTTCCTGGTGTTAAAGGCTGCATTACAGTAAAGTCATCTGATTTGGAGACTTGGAAGGCTTTTATACATGTTTCTTTGTTTGCCTTTACCAACTTAGCCATTTGTACCACTTAACTGAAGATTATATCATACATGCATTTATTATTAATTAAAGGTGGGGTAGGTAATTTTGGAGAAATCAGCTTGAGTGCGCTAGAATTTGAAAATAAACAGCCAGAACAAATCTGCCACTTCCTTACAGAGCCCCTCCTCCAACACACACATACGCGCACGTGACCAATGAGGGCACGAGATAAGTTTGTGCACAGATGGAAGGCTGACAGGCAGGTAGGCCATCCAGTTACTTTAGCCGGGCCGGCTCAAATGATTGGTCGTGCTTTTTACAGTACTACGGGTTCCACAGATGACATTTTTTTTATGGATTTTTTGTCAAAGCACTTCAGATATTCATTGCTATCGGGATGTTAAGAGCATTCCATGGAATATAACAAAAAGTGTATCTCGAGCCGGTTTCTCAAACTTACCTACCCCACCTTTAATACAAGTACAAATAGTCAACCCTATATCAATATCAATGTTGCAATACCAATATCGAGGTAGTAGATTAGAAATATCATATTTCATTTTCTCCATATCGACCAACTTTAACTTGGATCATAGTTTATAAATTAAAAACAGTGGAGGAGGTTCATTTAAACTTAATGAATGCCTTTTGAGTTTTGTGATGTGTGTTTGCATCATCAAGGTCTGTGGTGTGTGTGTGCAGGAAGTGAGTAACGCTCCCTGTCGAGTAGGAGGGTGTCGTCGTGATTAAACCTTCACATTCATCTTTCTGTTGTGTTGACAGAGAAAAGGTTAACTGAGTTTTACAGATGATTCAGTTTGTAAAGTTAGGAAGGATTTTAAAGAGGAAATATTCTGCTCATTTTCAGGTTCATAATGTATTTAGTGTCTCTACTGTGACATGTTTCCATGCTTTAATGTTCAAAAAGCTCTTTCTCCTCCCATCCTGCCTGTGCTGCAGCACCTCTTTTCACCCTCTGTCTGAAACCAGAGCCCAGTCTGCTCTGATTGGTTAGCTGGTTGGCTCTGTTGTGATTGGTCAATCGCTTAGAGATGTCCCACCCCTTAACCCATCACATACAATGTGTTGGGAGCGCTAGCCAACAGAAGCACAAGCTTTACATAGTGATGCCACTATGTTCAGGAAGTAAACAAAGGATTCCAATGGAGGCGTTTTGGGCATGCACAAAAATGTATACACACTACAGGATAGGGACATTTCCAAAAAAGCTAGGGCCTTTTTAAATGAGTTTGTAAAGGTTTAACACCAGAGCATTACCAAAAACTGCATTTCCTCTCGACTCTAGGGACAGTTTTAGCAATCGACAAAAAATTAAGAAACTTCATATTCATTCTGATGAAAAATATCTCGAGCATTTTTTCAAGTGTTTGTAATAATAAATAAATGGATGGCTGCACCAGGAGAGATGTATCCTAAAAACCACATTTACTGTCGAATGATGGAATGCATTTGGAGATAAAGCTGCCTACACTGTCTGCTCTTCATGGAGAGATGGCGCCACATGTGACCTTTAATCACCACTAGTAGGCTGGTGTTATCCAAGCCTCCATTAAACATACAAGCTTCTCTGGTGCGCTTCCAGAAAACTGAGTCATGTAATTGAGTGAAAGCTGGAGTAACGCAGAGCGCTCGGAGCATCGTCCTGCAGCAGCAGCATTAGCAGGCGGGGGGGCCTAATCTGCAGAGGCCGAGGCCGGGAATAGCAGCTCTGATCTGGAAATCCTGACGTGTAATCAGCTTGTCTTCTGCCCTGCTGAGCCCAGCGCTGAAACATCCAGGCCTGAAGCATCGCCACGAGAGAGGAGGGAGAGCATGCGACAAAATGGAGGCACGCGACACGATCACAGCGAGAGGGCGTGTCAGGCTGTGAAAACAAGAACTCTGTGCTCAGTGAGCAAGAAGAAAAACCTCGGCTATTTTTATCTGACAGGGGAGGGGGCACTGATCCTAAGTGGTTAAAGAGGAGACATTAATTCTGTCTCTTTAGCTGCTAAATGTGTCATACAGATGAACGGTTAATATACTACTGACAACACTGGTGTCACTGATTACACCGGCCATTTTAGAAAGAAGAGATATTGTCGATGAGCTTTTAACATTGGTTTACTTTAACTGCAGTGCTTTCTTTCCAGCATTGCGTTGTCATCAATCTCTCCTTCCTCTTTACGCCTTCATACCAAAAGTTAACAGATTATCTCATTAACTGAATCTAAAATGGTTTTCTAAAAATATTTCTTTATACATCCAAATATACTTTGACACTAATCCTACGCTTTCTTTGCCCATGATGACCCGTGATAATTAAAGCTCTGTCGTTCTTCTAGATATCGTAACATGCTTTGCAAAATGAGTATTTTCATTTGACAAACATATAAACTGATATTTTTTATTCAAAATAACTTTCTATGTACTAACTACACAGTGACATCACTAGGTAACTTGCACTTGCGCTTCTATTGGCTAGCTCCATCACATATTACTTGATAGGCTACGGGGCGGGACATCTCTAAGCCGTCGTCCAATCACAACAGTCAGCCAGTGGACCAATCGGAGCATTCAAAAGTTGTTTTAATTAAATAAGAGGAAACAAAATTAATTTCATGTTTTAGATAAGACACTTATTCAAGGTTTAACATCAACAATAATGTAAATCGCACAATCTCTTAGCAAAGGTAGTTTTTAATGCTTGAAATTACGCACAGGAAGGCTTTTCAGTATTTTAGTAAAGGCAATTTATGAAACGATCGAAAACTTCTAAGAAGTCGTTTTTGGTGTAAAATTAGCAAAATTCCCATTTGTTTATTGTGAAGAACCCTGTCAGGATATGTCGAGCTCTGCAGTCCGGCATTTCTCTGACCGTTCGTGATCAACAGAGGACAGTACAGGCACGGGGAGTTTTCTTAACCCTTTAATCCTGGTGGGACTAAAACAGTGGGGAAGAGGCGATGATGGGATTAGAGGCTGAAAAGAGACTCTGACCGTAAAGCTGCTGCTCGGTGGTCCAAATAAACCTCTTACACAAGTCTTCATCTCGCAGTCAAAATGAACATAGAAATGGGTTTTAATGTGATCTATAGCAATATATACATCAAA